TAAAGTGTGGCACATAGTTGTAAACAGTATATTTAATTTTATATAAATCGATATAAAAAACGTCTTTATTATAAAAAATGAAAAAAAAAAAACGCCTTTATGGAAGGTGTCTCTTGTGGATTAAAAATAAAAAATCCAACAGGAAAAGGAAATCGTTTAATAATAACCCACAATTGGAAGCAACGCCGAATTTTTGCCAGATGGTTTATTAATGTTAGAGTCAAAGAAAACAAAAGACCATGAAGAAATACATAGGCCCTGTTTGAAAATTGGTTTCAGAAAATAATAAAAAATGCATTGATTATGTTAAAAATGCGGGAAATTCATTGAGGAGAGAAGATATAGCAATGGAAAACTTAATAGAGGCTAGAATAATAAACGACAGAAAAAACAATGATAGTGATACCAGTAGTTATAGTGAAGACAGTGACTTTTAAAGATAGTTCTTGAACTTTTATTTTTTTTTTAATCTTTAAATTTAGGTACCTACTGAAGTGTTACTTTTAATGCCAAGAGATTAAAAAAAAATTAATCCCATTAACAACATATAATCCTCCTTGTTATTTATTGGTTAAATTTAAGTGCAACAATTTTGTCAAAAGCATAAGGTTTATTTTTATTTTTTGTAAATAATATAACTTTTTTTCAATCAAAATCTACGAAGTGCATATATACCATTTTATATGCCGTGATCTTATTTATATTATATAAACTTATTTTACAAAGTACGCCTATGTAATGTGACGTTATATCCCCATTCTTTTATTCAGACTATAGTTACTGAGATTCCAATACATCGAACTAAAATTTGGGACATTCTGTAAATTGGATATTGCATATGGCAACTATGTTAGCATTCTACACTAATTTCTGACTATTATTTATAGATTCAACTATAACTATAGAATTATTTTAATTGAAGTAATTTTTGTTTTCTAAATATTTTGTTTCTTAGACCCAGATTTTTCTTACTGGGTTGCCGGTACATTAAGAATCTAAATTTATTGGTAGATATTCAGCATAGCTACACAATTTCACTGTGTATAAGAAATTTCGATTCCCAATAGGTAATATTAATAAACATTACGTATCTAGCGTTACATAATTCGAATATTTGCGCGGAAAATATCAACAAATTAGAAATTCTCGAATCGTGCTATTTAATAACGCATAAATAGTCGATTTATGATTCTGCGCGCGCATTTAAACCTAAGCAATCGTTGCTGGTTAAATAGTTATTATTTATAGTTATTAAAACAAGACAATGTCGAGACTAAAGGTTAAACATCGTGTTGCAGCTATAAAATAATGTTTAATAAAACTTTAATGTTATCTGCATAACAATGAAATATTAATTTCAAACAAAATGGTTTGGTACGCTTAGAAAAGCAAAGCAAATAAACGAAAGGGTTACTATTTGGAAATGTGGCCATGAACCGTCTTATTTACAATGAATTTGCAATAGAATTTGTAATTTTTTATATTTCAATTTATTCAAAAATAAAAAGTGTACAATAATAATAGCATTCAAAGTATTATATTGATATAGTATTTAATACTTTCGATTTTGAAAATTCTAATATATCTACTTGGGTTGGGTTCAAACTTCTAAAAAAGTTAATAAAAATGTATGCGAATTAAAATTTTCCAAAATATAACAAAAATCAACTCTTCCTTGTCTTCTCCAATTGTCTTTTCGTCTGTCTCCTTTTGTATATTCTCTAATCCCGTCGAACTATCTTTTTTACTTCTCATTTGTCTTTCTTTACATCAACTTGCTCTACTCCTTTTGTTACTGCATCTCTTTTTAAACTCTACTCTACTATCTGCTCACGCCTCTGCTTCCTCAGCTCCTTTCCAAAAATACCTATTTCCTGATTTTTTATCTCCAACACCTTTTTAATAAATTATATTTGTCCTTTATCTCTTTCAAACCTTATCTCCTCTAACTTCAACATTTTTTTTAAACATTCTTAAACATTCTTTTGTATTAACATTTTTTTTTAATTCTTACAATCTTCCAAAACCTAACAATTCTACCACTGACATCATAATTTTTAAAATCCTATTTCAGAAATGTAACCACAGTCAATTTGACAAAAATGGACAATAAACATGAGGCATACCTAATTTTGTACCCCAGAAATATCTATATCAATATTATAAAAACTCTAGAATCAGCGATATGCCACCCTTGGGTTCAGGAGAATTTTGCTTCCCTTACCACCATTGCTTCATTCCTATCCGGGAATTCCCGCGAATTTTTCTTTCGATTTTTGCATTTTTATGGGTATGACTGTATAGAGAACCAAAATGTAAGACGTGATCCGATTGTCGTACCTCCTTCCTACCCCCCAGAAGATTTCAATTGATTTTGGGCGAAGATTAATGACTGGAACGATATTAAACTGACTGAACATTCTTTGGAAGGGATCATTATGATCCACCTAAGCACAAGTCATTCCGCCCCCCTAAGTGAAGGAAGAGGGTGAAGCATTTTTTCATAATTCAGGTATTTTGTCATAATGGTTATATAGATAATTAAAAAATACCTCACCTTCCCTCCCCCTTTTTGAGGGTGGCCGTTTCTGGGCTTTTAATGAATATTTTCGATATATTTTATGACAGGGTGCCAGCTGAGGTCAAGTATAGTAGAGTACTGATGGTTACCCCTCACCCCTCTGTTTTTAGAGGCTCCAAAACTGCCTTTGTTGCTTGTGCTAATTCTAAAAGTTTTATAATAAGGTTGCCAACACCATTTTGATCCGGATAGTGCAGATTTGGCAATCATTCTTAGGGGTTTCATTAAAATTTTCCAGGAGAGGGGAGAAGGGCGCAAATTCTAAAATAAACATAGCTTCACGTAGATCTTAACTTTTTTTGAAGATCAGCATGTGGATTTAGAGAAAATGAACAACAACAAAACAAGAGAAAAGCAAAACTATGACAGTTCAAGTTAAAACATTTTCAAATTTCATTTTAAAAAGTTTGTATTTGTATCTATGTAGAAAAAATCGTGTTTTCCGTTTTATTTAAAAATTTTTAACTTAATTTTCTACGAATGTAGCCCTCTCCTTATCCCTCCAGGGGATGGTGGGGGTAAAATTTTAATAAAAATATGTTGTAACTCTAGGTCTATTATTATAAATGTGCCAAAAATTAGTTTTATTTCCTTTGTAAATGACAGGCTTCCAGGGTGTCCAACTGAACTATGAATTTTCATATTGAAAAATGTTTAATTTACAAAAAAGAAAAAATGTGTGTTAATTTTTTTTGGGTATGTATGGGGAAAATCGTAGTTTCCAACTGTTTTATTCAAAAAAATCTAATATAATTTTATTAGTTTACAAACCCCTCTGTCTCCCTCTAATGGAATGGTGGGGGTATAGTTGTTGTAAATCATGTCCATTGTAAATGTGCCAAAAATGAGATTTGTATCTATATTCTATAACCATTTTTTAAATGCTCAGCCCTCACATGCAAACTATGATGGTTTAAGTCAAAGTTTTTTCAATACCCAAAACATTGTTTTAAGTTTGAAATTTTGGGTTTGTTTGTAGAAAGAATGGGAATTTTAAATGATGGAATATACGATTTTTCCTTTAAATTATAACTTCATTTTCATTTGTTTTTGATTGTATGGTATATAAAATATCCTTATACCAAGTTTTGCCTCAATGTATTGACCAAAATTGCCCTAGCTCCAAGAGCTGAACCACAACCATAATTTCCTAATCCATGGTGAAAGATTTTTGACTCTATTTTGCTGGGAATAATTGGGATATATACCTGCTTTGTGGTTTTACATATATATCAAGGTATCAAGACCTTTTAACACTTTTGGAGCAATATCTTGTATTAGAATTTTTCTCCATACATTTTTGACCAGGGACAAACAATCATATAAGGTTTGTATTTATTTAGTTCTGTTGTTGAAACTAAAGAGAACAATAAATTACCAAAATTTACTAGCCAGAAAAGAAACAACAGTCAAAAGGGTATTTTAGTATAAATCAATAGGTATTGTACTTTTTAAAAATTATCTCTACAATCACTTTTCATATCATAATTGTACTAATTATAATGGATTTATTAGAAATATAATGCATGGGTATTGTTAGATCTTTATAACCCATTATATTCCAAATTTCACACATTTTTATTTTTAAATAAAAATATTGTTTGTGATATGTCTATAGAAAGCCATCTTTACTCATATCCTCTCGAATTGATTAAATTGAAAAAGTAAAAGTGAGAGTAACCCAGCCACAATAAAAGATAAGATATACATATTAATTTCCATAAAACATACAATTTTCAAGAATTTTTCGACAGGATATGACACACCTGTATTTAAAATACCATTTGTCATTGAAGATATGAAACTAAATAATTCGCAATCAATTTCTAAGAAATAAAAGCTACACATTTTTAAAAGCCCATACCCATTTTTTTTATTTTTACCTCTCCTGAAATAGGTTTTGGATTTTAAAGATACTAAGGATTGAAATCAAATGTAAATTAACTATAGATAACAAAACAAATAATTGATAAACAAATACATTAAACATCTATATATAGAAAAACATGAATATATATTGGTTTATGTAAAAATTATCCTATAGTGCAATTAAAATATCTAGTATTTCATGTATAATATAAACTCCTCATAATTCTAGAATAAATAATTACTATTTAATAAAAATAAACACCTGTCTTAATTATTCTAAAGTAAAATGAATGATAACTAGTATAAAAGAATAGAGTGCCCACACCTTGATGAGAGTCAAATATAAATATGTTTACATAATTGTGTCGCCATCAATCATCCTAGCTAAAAATAGCTATTCTGAAACATTAACAGCTAGAAAACCATATGAAACATCCAAAAATACATTTAATTTCATTTTGGTAGCAACTTGCAGCCAAACACACATAAAAACAAACCCAGCACCACCTAAGAATGAGGTTATGTGTACGATAAAAAAATTAAAACTCACCGAGATGGTCATCCATAATGATTAATTGAATATGTTGACTCAAAATGCACCAAAACGCACTGAAATTGATACTGTTAAAAAAATTTATGACCTATTTTATTAACGACAATAAACTTCTAAATTGATCAAATGTCATAGAATTGTCAAAGTCAGAATTGTCAACAATCGCTGGCTGACCTTCGACCAAATATGGAAATGGCGATCGGAGACAGACAAATGCGAATTATTCCAGGACAGGTTTTCATCATTTTTAAAAACCTATCTGACAAAAATACCTCCACTCCTACACAGCAACTTTTTAAAATAATTATTGTTTGATTCACTTATCCAAACTAATTCTAACAATAAGCTATTTAATCATCAAATTTGGGTGTTCAACTTTATGCAGGCAGGAATATTAAATTTCCCTAATTGCTTAGATAAAACCTAATTGTAATTTTTTCTACGTTTACACAAGAATTTACTTATAAAGTGAAAATAAATACACAACAATGAGGAAGAAATTAATTATATTAGTTGCTTCGGAATTAAATCCCTATCTTATAGTAGATTCGTACCATAGATTCGTACCACTTATTAAAAATAATTGAAATTTTATCGATTTTTAAAATCTTTTTTATTCATTTTTTAATGTACATATATAAATTTAAAATACTAGTGTAGTGAAGAGATATAATTACTTATTAGGAGAAAGTGAAGATATAATTTTTAGAGGCGGATAGGTAGGTAAATTTAACTTAATCTTACCTCAAACTAGGCAACACTCATAGCATATCAAATTTATTTGTTGTAAATTTAATTCTGTGAATTGAACACAAGTAGATGTCATGTAGCAAAATGATTATTTCGAAAAAAAATTTGTTTGGTATGATATAGGCTACCTAATTACACTTCTATATTTTGGAAATCTCAGTTATTTATTCAAATTCAAAATAAAAATATAGCATTAATTAGGTCTTAGGCGTCAAAATATTTTTTGAAGAAAATATAATGACACCTTTATCCATTTACGTCTTTAAATATTTAAATTAGAATATTTTTTAATCTCATAAAATCGGCATATGTAAATAGCTGCATATACTGTTATGTACAAGATAATGCTTTTAACCTCCATGGGTTTTAATAGAAAAAGAAGAAATGAGGTTATATTTTTGTTGTTACTTTAAATGTCATAATATCAATAAAGTTTTAGAATAACTGCACCCACTACACACTATTATTATTAGTATGATTTAATAATTTAATGTGGATTTAATATTAAAAGAAATAGACCAGAACAATGGGTTTGTTAACGGATCCAACAACTGGCCAAGGCAAATTTATAAAAATTCTTTTGAAATATTACAGCTATGCCTGTATGTTATTGTACATTGGTGGTGTTATATGGTTTTTAGCTTTAGCCTATCCTACTATGAATGCAAATACTTATTTTTCGGAAAATGCATTGCTCCCTGGTCTAGTAAAATCTCAGTTTCGCGAAGACAGAGAAGCTGCTAGATATCATGAAGAATTACTTGATGAAATGAATAAATACCATGATTCGATTCCATATTCTTGGTTACTAGCCAAATTTAACCAAATAGGATTAGATACTTATACGCACAATTTTACTCTTACTTCTCCTTTTAATAGAAAAGATAAGTTTTCAGGTAAGAATGTTTATGGAATTTTGAGGGCCCCAAGGGGGTCTAGTAGTGAAGCTTTGGTGTTAAGCACACCTTTTAGGCCTAGTACAAGTGCACATCCTCCAACAGCTCCATCCGTTGCTATCATGTTAGCTTTTGCTAAATTTGCAAACAGTAAGTTTTAGGATTGTATGCCTCGATAACTTACTGATAACTATTTATTTTCAAGGGGAAAAATATTGGGCAAAGGACATAATTTTCCTAATCACTGAACATGAACAAGTTGGAGTTCAAGCTTGGTTGGAAGCTTATTATGGTGTTAGTTGTGGTAGTGAAAATATTTTAGATCATGGAGACCTCAGAGGCAGAGGTGGTGCAATTCAAGCAGCTATCAACTTAGAATTACATAGTGAAAGAATTGGTAAATTTAAGTAGTCAATATCTTATGAAATTTGACATTTTTTTAAGATTATTTTGTCCGGTACAATCAAAACATTTATTTATGTAAAGTTATACTATAGTCCGGAGTTTTCTGTGTTAAAAATATCTGTTTTAGGCAAGTTTTTAGTTCCTTTAACCATAAGAGAATGTAATTTTTAATTCTAGGTCAAATGGATATAAAAATTGAAGGCCTAAATGGTCAACTACCTAATTTGGATCTTTTTAATTTGGCATCAAAGATGTGCACAAAAGAAGGAGTATATCAAACTTTCAAAAATAAAGGACCATTTTATTCCAGAAAACCATCTAAAGAATGGTTGAATTATTTTAGAAATATGCTTTCTATGATGGGTACGCAAGCCACTGGAGTAAGTAAAGATTTTTGCAAGAGAAAGTGGCATTTGCCAATATATTATGTTGTTTTGGCCACATTCACTCTACGGTTGCTTTAAAGTTTCACTTTTTTGGGCTTATTTTATAGCCGCTTTTACAAGTTGATCATATTCATCTTTAATAATTCTATACAAATTTTATTACTAAACAGTATGTTATTTATTCAATCAATAAAAGTTTGAAACTATCTTGCATTTAAGTCTCTTTCAGGATTAAGAATGTAAAAAAAATGTTGGATCTACTTGATGAGACATGTTATGTGCACCTTGGATGCATGATCTTGTTTGGCCTAACTAGAAGTTGCTTGTCCTTGACTCTACCTCGGTTCAGCCAAAAAAAATCAACTTTATGGCCTCAGTACACAAATAATTATTTAAATAGACTACCACAGTTAACTGTCCTATTTCTTTTTTTAGATTCCAAATGGTAATCATGGTCTCTTCCACAGATTTGGCATCCAAGCTCTTACTCTTGAAGGATTTGAACAATCAAGAGCTAAAGGCAGTAATAAAATTTGGTTTGTGGGTACTGGAAGAATCATAGAAGGAATATTTCGTAGTTTGAATAATCTACTGGAGAGGTTTCACCAAAGTTTCTTTTTCTATTTGTTGCCGTCCTCAGATAGATACATTTCCATAAGTTAGTTTTACCTTTACATATTTTTGTTTTATTTTTGGTTATCCCATTTCTTTAATTCTGGAGTGCTCCTTTAGATTTGTTGAATCTTATATAGGGTGATTTTAAAATACAATACTGAAAATATTATGAAAAAAGGAAAATGTTTTGTTACATAATATTAGCCTATCTGAAAATACTAGTTATTGAATATTTTCAGCATTTTTCCCAAGGTTTACGGATCCCACTTCTGATATAAAAAGTTCGAATACAAAGTTTGTATTAAATTATAAATTAATAATAATATCTTTATTTGCTAAAATTTTGATGTTACAAAAAACATAGTTTTGTCAGAGTTTATTTAAAATTGAAAAACTTGTTTTGCTACCAACAGTTCATTGCAGTATCCTATTTGTATATAAAAGACAACCGTGCAGCTTTGTCCATTATCTCTTTGTCTCGGGGAGAAAGTGCACTAGAATGAGGGAGAGAATGAACAGTAAAAAATATATTTTTTATTAAAAAATAAAATAAAAATGTCTTCTTACTTACTGAAACTGATAACTAAATATAGATACGTAATTAATAACCTAGTTAGTCATTTATATAAAGAATGAATAAAATGGGACCCACCATAGAACCCTGAGGAACTCCCCAACTTATATCTAAAACTTGAGAGTCTTCTTAATAGCTCTTGTCATTTGTTTATGTTCAGAAAGATAATCTTTTATTCAAATCAGCGCTTCGTCTTCGATTTCGTAAACTCGGAAGTTTTTGCAATCATATTGTGTGATTGACACAATCGAACGCCTTAGTCAAATCACATAATATCTCCGCTACATCTATTTTAAATACCTGAACTATGTATAAATTAAAAGTAGCGTTAAATTTCCAGCACCAATAATTGACACTATTAGACGCTGATTTATATTAAATAATTATTTTCACCAATAACAAAAAAAATTTAAGCATATAATACGATTTTTTCTTGTAGCTTATAGTTTCTTGAGTTCATTAGTTATGTATTTTTAGTTCTAATAATTTTGCTTTTCATGAAATAAATATTATAAAAAAAGTGTTTTGAAGTACCAGTCATTGACACTTGATTTTTTTCATGTACCAGTAATTGACCCACCAATTATTGATACAAATTAAGGATTATACTTTTAATTTTGAATACATTAAGTAAATAAAAATAAACAGCAAATTCATAACATAAAAAATAAAAACAAAAAATGGAAATTTGTGGGTGCTTTAGGCTTCAAAATTATCAATATTTTTTGAAAATACATATTTTATTCTGTCGCCGACATTGTGTAGTTCCGGTTGGGGTAACTTTTTTTATGATAACCTCTATCTTGATTGTTGAAATATTACTATCAACAAGTTTGAAGGTATTCGTTTCATTTGTTGATTTAAGGGATATAACTTCAATATCGTTTCGGAAATATTTCTTCTGAACCACACAGATATACCTATAAAAAAAAGTTTTTCTCTTTCCTCCTAAGAATTTCGCTAAAATAAAATTTCCTACTTGGATATCGTCGTATTTGATTGGTATTTCGTTCTCTTCTTCATTTTCTAAATTGATACTGACATCATCATTACTGTCTCCACTTTCTATCCATTCTTCGTTTTCGGATGAATTGTCAGAACTTTCCCTCTTTACTGACTTAGCCTTGTTTTGTATTTTTATAATTTTTTCTTCCCTTTTTCGCTTTCTCTCTTCTGTCCGTTTTTGTTGTTCTTCTTGTTTTCTCTTTTTCTCAGAATCCTTTTTTATGTGGTATTTTTGCCAAATTTCTGACGTAATAGCACAAGGAATTTTCTCTTTATTCTTTTTGTGTTTTTTACTTCTTCCGGCCAAAAAAGGGCTTTTTTAAATGGAGTGGGAACTTGTTTCTTTAAAGATAATACATTGAACGGCGTTGTATTTTCCGATGAATTTAAAGGAGATCTATCACTTTGTGATACAGTAGGAGGTGTAATATTGACATCAGAATGTATAACAATTTTTAATGGGGTCATATCAGAATCAACTCTTTGTTGTTGAAGGCCAGAAGGTCCTGGTCTCGAGTTGTCTAATATGTTTTCTACAAGATCATTTTCTTTCTCGTTGCAATTTTGGTTCTCACATTTATTTATGTTTTCTAATGGTTCAACACCTAAAGCGGATTCTATTTTAATTTTTTTTTTTTTCATTGTGTTCCATACATTAAATAGTGACACGTCTTCCATATTACCTGTCCATGCAGTATCAAAATTTGTTCGAAAGTTTTTTTAATTTTTCTGAGGGAATACATTTTTCCAAAGCCAACCCTTCTATTATTCTGGTTTGATTAACTTCTGTCGACGGGTTTGAAATTTTTGAAAATTTTACATTTTCTACATTAAGCGGCGAAAGTCCACATACTCTAAATCCATGTTGAATTGTTTTATCTGTAACTTTGGATAACGCTTCCTCAAACACTTTTCCAAAATTTTCTTTTCGCAATATTTTTCCGTGATTTTCGTGCCAATGTCTTATACCCCCTTTACATGCAGCTCACTTCCGCAGCAGTGAGCAGGAAATTGGGTAGGGAAATGGGCAGCGCGTGTATGTAAACACGTCGCTCGCGCTGCCATTGCTCATGCCACTACCGCTGCCGTCCGCTCCCTTCAGTGGCGGTATTTCGAAAGGAAGTCAAAGGACTGGCAGCACGAATGGGCGCAACCGTTTACATGCTGCCCACTGTCCTGTCCTGTTGCTTTACCAAGTGCACAAAGAAAAACTTATGTGTTTGTTGTTTGGTGAATTATTGGCACCAATAACATTTTAACCATTATTGAGAGTAACAAAGACCAAGTGCTAAAGTTTTTAGAGCTATATGCAACTGAGGCATCCTGTAGATCCTTCACATATATCACAAAAAAAATACGTAGAAAAGGATAAGTGAAAAGGTAGAAAATGCCTCGATTGATAAGGTCTGATGAGGTGTTTCAGTCTATTTGTTTTTTTTTTATTATACATTTCTTTTTAAAACAATATTATTTTGCAAATTCAAAAATTAGAGCGCTATCGCCTCGGCAATTTCTACGCCCTCTATTATTGCTAAAGAATAATGGGTAGGCGCGATAGCTGCATGTAAATAGTCACTTGCTTCACAGGCTGCCGTGGAATTATTCAGGGCAGAACAGCGGGCAGAGCAAGTAGTAGCGGCAGTGGCTGCATGTAAAGGCGGCATTACATATTTTTTCCAGAATTGTTTTAGTGGCTTAAATACAGCCACATCCATAGGTTGAATTAAATGTGTAGAGTTTAGATACAATGCAAAAAGTTCTATTCCGTTTTTTGAATAAAACTTTGATAGGTGTAATGTCATGTGTGACCCATGACCGTCAATAAACATAATAATAGGTCTCTCAATTTTTTTCTCATCTAGCCATGGTACAAACACATTTGTTATGTGTTCAAAAAAGTTGCTCCACACATCCATCCACTTTCGGAACGGCCTATTCCCCAACTTTTATTGATACTGACAGCTACATGACTTGGAATGCGTTCATATTTAAACACCACCATAGGAGGAGCTAGTGTCCCAGCCGCATTAGCGGTGACTAATACAGTTAAATTTTCTTTCTCGTCGTTGGTTCCAGCATTGTACACGCTTTTATCCCCTTTTCGTGCAAGGACTTTATCACCTTTTGGTTGAAGAAAAAAAGCACTCTCATCAGAGTTGAATACTCTGGAAGGATCCTCCGTTGCGACAAATAAATTTTTTGACTGCAAATATTCTTTCACTCCGAAACCATTGTCGCAATTGTTGTTCAGTAACTTTTTCGCGGGCTGGTGTTAAATTTTGCGCAAATCCTTCGCTTAAATTTGGATGCCTCTTCAAAAACGACTCATACCATTTTCAACCTGGTCTCGAATCAGTGAAAGGGTTTGGTCGTTTACTTTCTTTAACGATAAACTGGACATTGTCTAGTAATTGCTCTTTGCCTACTGAATGGTGCACTTTTGCTAGAGAAAGTATCCACTGTTCGACAAGAGTTTCTTCATTGCTTGTGAGGATGGTACTTGGTCCCATTCGGCAATGTATAGGTAGCTTTCCTGTTGATTTATAAAGTAACGTTGTTCGTGGAACAAAGTAAGTTTTAGCAGCTGTAGCTACTGGCATCCCTCTTGCTATAGCAGCAAGAGCTTCATCCAACTGAGCCTATGTATAATTTTTTTAGGTGCTATAACTTTAAATAAAAACGTGTTCCAGTTATTGACACTTCTTGTACCAATAATTGACACCCCTGTCAATGACTGGAACCAAAAGGCTGTTAGATCTCATATTTAAATGGTATATTGCAGACTTTTTAGACAGTATGACAACAGTGTATATCAGTATTTGCTTGTGAACCAGTGATTAACAGGGTATGTCAACTGGAACATACTGGTTTGGTTTGTTCCAATTATTGACACTTTAACAAAAATGAGGTTTTAGGATTTACATGCATAAAAACCAGTAAAAACCCATCAGTGTTGTTTAATACGCCCCCAGGAATAGTTTAAATAAATTTAACATGAAGTTATAAGAAGTAGATATATTCAATTTGGTATACTGACCTTATGAAATGTCTTAACATAACCACTCTATCACTGCACGTGTTCTTTTCACCATTTTGTAACTGACCGTAGTGCCACCTAACATCCGTTACGTAGGCTACACGGTTGCCAAATATTCTAAAAATACCGATGTTTAAGATAAATTTCTCATATATAGTCTAATGTTCTTATTTTTGAAGAATAATTGAGCAAGTGTCAATTACTGGAACACTGTCAATTATTGGTGCACTTACCTTAATTGGTAGGCTTTTAAAAATTTCAAATATCCAAATGTTTTCAAATTCACACTATCATTTAATATATTTTTTTATAGGTATTTACATTCCTTCCGTATGCTTGATGATCGGAACTATGTTTATTAAGGCTTGTGCGAGATGGTTCAAGTTGCAAGAAACCAGTTGTAAAGGTAATTAAAGCAATTACACTGTTCTCGCTAATATTTTAGGACGAAATAATGCATTTAAAATCCTTTTATATTTTTTTAGAAATGAGTACAGAAACTCATTCTCCACCAGTACGCATCGATAAAATTATAACGACCTTCCTGGTGACTCATTTCTTCGGAGTTCTGGTTTCGAATATACCTCAATTCATGTCTCGATATATAACATCACTTTCCGTTTATGAAACGAACGTTAAAGTGTTCTATCCACTTCTGGCATGTCTTGTACAACTTTTATTCATTCCACTGTTCATCAGGATGAGACATTGTAGAAAAAGTATGGAGTTGTTGAATATTCTCGCCATGTTAGAGCTGGGTACGGTTTTAATTTGCATTTCAATGAATAATTTTTCGTTGGGATTTTTCTGCGCAATTATTAGCGTACCTGCTGCTCTGTTAGTTAATCCATCCAGTTGCAGGTAAGATTTTATTTTTTTTTTACATAAAAAAATTCTAAAAATATTTACATATATAGGGTGTCAATTTATATAAATCGTTTATTTAGTAAAAAAAAAATATTTTTTTACATGTGTAGCAGTATGACCGAAAGAAAATTATGAACTGTATTAAATAATATTGGAAATACCTGTGCGATCCATAGGTCTGGGAGGATTAGTACTTGGATGAAAACATCACCTTCTAATTAGACACTTTATTTTAAACATTTCTGGAGTGATTTTATTTTTATTACATGGTGCACTTACAAACTACATACTTTTTACACTATTTACAGAGTTTCTCTAGGAAATTTGTTACTTAAGCCATTCTTATGGTATGAAATTTATATTACATGATGGCAAATGAAGCGTTACCCTTTTTAACACCGCAAAACGCTGTGTTGTGTTTGAGAGGTACTGAAGTGCTGCTTACAGAGACGTCTCCAGGAGTAATAAAAGAATTGAGAATGAAAGCTTTGTGTACAATTGATGCAATACTGAGCACAGCAACAAATCCAACATGTTGAATATAATTCAACAACATGTCAATACATATCTTCATATTTAAAATAAAATAAAAAATAACATAAGTATATAGAGTCAACATACATTAAAAAAAAATAAAAATACGTAAGTATACAGTCAGCGTACATGTAAAATGATAACATAATGTCAACATTGCAAAACATAAGAAAAGAAGAAGAGAAAAAAAATTAAATGGTCAGCAAATTAAAAGCTTGCACACCTTTAAAAAAACTGAATTTCATGGGTTTTTTTTTCTCCTGGGCTCGTCTGACTATGTATCTCCGAATAACACTGAAGCCTATTGGCTTATTGTGTTTTACCCCATGTTAGTTTATAACACCCACTCTGTCACCTTTGTACCTTGTACAAGTTTGTACAGATCCTTGGGTAAGCTGGTTCTATACGTTGTTGGATCAACCTGTCTTTTGGGTTCTAGAGCTTCGCATTCGCACAGTATGTGTTTGGCCGTTTCTGGTTTCTTGTGACATAGTCGGCACATGAGTTCCCCATTGTACATGCCAATTTTGTTCAAGTGTCCCTTTACTGGGGCGTGCCCAGTCATGAACCCTGTTGTCACTTTCAACTGGTTCCTATTCATTGAGAGTAGTTCTCCAGTTCTTTTGGGACATGGTCTGTCTATGAAGGCTTTTCCATGTGCCTGTTTTGGGGTGTTTCCCCAATAGTTGATATGTTGTTCCCGAATCCAGGTGTTTATGAAACCCTTGACTGTACTTTTTGGTACTCCTGGATTTGTGTCTGGTTCCGGTGTTTCTTCTGACCCTCTTTTTGCAAGTTCGTCAGCCTTTTCGTTGCCTTCGATCCCTTGGTGACCTGGCACCCAAAATAGTTTTACTCTATTTCGGTCTGCCAGTGTTCTTAGTTCTTCGATGTATTCCCATACCAGCCTCGACATAACTTTCTGAGTCGATATGGCCTTAAGTGCCGCTTGGCTATCATGGGCTTATAAATTCTAAAATTTTACTTATTTCGTATATTGTGTTCATGAACATCCTGAATATAATTTAAAATATTTTGTAAATATACTGGGGAGATACCTGATTTATTCTTAAATATAAATAGCAGGCAATAGAACAGCAAATATGTTTTTAATCAGCAACCACTGAAATACATTTAACATGGAATCGATTGGTTCCAATCGCGAAAAGCTTAGTATTATCCTCATACCTACATTATGATTATTTTAGCCCATTTGCTGAGATGTGGAGAACAGCGCCTCAAATAGTTGAATACTTTTGATGACGATATTAGCATGTTCCTTAAATTGTAAATTTGTATCAACCATAGCCCCTAGGTACTTAATTTTTTCGACTCTCTCAAGTTTTACTCCATCAACAGAAACACACTGCGATGCTACGTTTATTTACATAAATTTCCAGTACCACCAATTAACATCCATTTTGTCTTTTCGTAATTTATTTTCAACGAGTTTCTGTTACAATAATAATTTATTTTACTTATAGAACAATTAATTTCTTTAAAACAAGTTTCAATGTTATAAATTAAAAACATTAGCGGACCCAGAACACTACCCTGTGGCATTCCCAAATTATTCTCTATAGTATCCGAAACATAATTACTTATCTTAACCTTCTTCCCTATTAATAGTCTCAAATGATAAATAGTACAGAGTTTCTTATTTCGATATAATCAGATTAGACATGATATTTTTTGCAATAAATATATCGCAAGGATTCCCAGGCAGCACACTTTGGTATAAATTACGTTTTTTTTAGGTACTAGGTATATTTTTTTTTATTTTTATACGTCTAACATTACAACTTTATCTACCTTTTATTATCCTGTTTTACTATACGTCTATATTAGATTTATCTTATTTTATTAATGTGTAAAATGCGTCTACCTGATATTTTAAATATATTTCAAACACAAATTAAATAAAGTGATCAAAACAAAATTTCTAAAAGAGGCCATGGAAAAATGTTAATATTTCTTAAATGACAGTTTGGATTTTATCCATAGCAGGTAGAAATAGGTATTACTCGTGTTTCTATTTTGGTTGTAATTGGTCTAAATATTTAGGAAATTTTTTTGATCACTGGTTCTTGTTATATGTACAGAACAATATTTTATTAAAAAAAAATAAACAATAAAATACTAAAAAATAAACACTAAAATACTGAATAACAAACTAAACGAAACTTTTCTTTAACTAATAAAAAATATATATGAAAATTAAAATCTTAGCTTAACACTTTGGATGTGTTATGTCCTAGACAGGCCTTAGCTAACTTAAGCCAATCTTGCATAGAACTTCTAATCGTTCGGTCGGTTAAGTCTCTTGGTTCACCCCCATTCCTATAACTAAAAGGTAACTGCATTTCAGGTGAAATATTTTCTAAAAGCTCCAAAGTTAAATTTGCATTATTTTCTAAGAAATTATTATAAATAATAGAATCAGATGATATATTAATGTCCGAAGCCTTATTAATGTTATCTTCACTGGGAATAAAAAAATTGATTTGACTTTAAAGCATCTTGAACATTTTGTGTTATTTTTCTTAGTAGATGACACCGAGACAGGGTTATTTTAGATATTTTATTAAATAAAAAACAACTCACCAAAACAAAGGAAAATGAGTATGCTTGGAATACCTAGGTAGCCTAAAAAATACGTATAGAAATACGTATAAAAATAAGAGAAACAAAAGTAAGGTTATGTTTTGGAGATTCTATAAGCATTTTACACACTGTAATAAAACAGTAGTTGTTGTAAAATGCAACAATTATTAAACGAGTAGCTAAATTAAAACATTAATAGAAACTTACCTATGCTTGTAACCAATATCGTAAAAGCCAGGACGCCAAAGTAACATGCAATTCAACTGGGCACAACAACAACACCAACAATTTTACAAGAACTTTTTATTACATAAAAAACAATTATCGTGGTTAGCAACTAGTTAACAGAAATATAACTTATAATAGCGTGAATCGTTTGATTGATAGCGAGCCCTTCACAGCCACCATCAGTCAGCTGATTCCCGATCGTCTGCCGGTACCTTACTCCCCTCTCGATTCTCTGCACTACGCGCACTTTGGACCAGCCCGATTTAGCTTGAAGCACACCCCGAATCTCACTCAATGAAACGACATGGACTAGTCCACCCCACCATGGTTATTGGCGGGTTATTTAAATGTTCGGGTGTTTGAAATCGGTACAATGGGGAATTTGTTATAAATATTACAGGAAATATAATTAAAAAAATATGGTGTAATATAAATAAATATATCTATAAGCTTTTAATTTAAATAAACCTAAATATATTCATATTATTTACTTCTGTCTACTAGTTCATCGTAAACTGGTAATATGCGTTTAAGGTGACTTATATTTAAACGTAAAATAATATAGGTATATTAACTAGTATCCACAAACAAAAGCGTTTAATTTATCTGTTAAAAAACGTTAAGTATAAAAATGGTAGATGGTAAACGTTGAAAAAATCAACCAAGACGAAATTTAAACGGGAGTTATAAACGAAGAACACATATTGTAATATTATGTAAATTTATACGAATTTAATTTAATTAAACCTAAACGTATATTTAGACCCACTGTATATAAATAGTTCATCGCAAACTAAAAATAGTCGTATATTGCTAACTACATTTAAACGTAGAAAAATTTACAATTATATACCATAGGATGAATACAAAAAACGTATAATATATCTTTTAAAATACGGCATGTCTAATTTTGTTCGTACTAAAATATAGATAGTAAATCATTTATAAAAAGTATAAACCATAGAGGACCCTAGTTTAAACCTTGTGATACCCCAGATTTCGCATGATATTTGCCTGATGTTTCCACTAAATCTTACAATTTAAAATCGTTCTTCTAAATAGTTTTTTTAACAAAATAACAAATCCCACCAAATAATGTATCGTGATGTATTTGATAAACATTTATTTTAAAGTCCGTGTATTCAACTTCTGATTGTAATTTTTCCTATATAGCTTCACTTGCACTTTTGAGACAGCATTTTAATTCCTCTATAGTTTTAAATTTCCGACGTTTTTTTGCTTATGAATAGGTTTATAATAAAGTATAATTCATTGTAATTAAATTATAAAAAATATGGAATATCAATTCGCGCTGCTTTTTTTGGCAATAACTTTTTACTGCTTTGTTAATTGTCATTTTCATTTATTTCAGGTAATAAACATAAATCCAAATTATCCAGACCTTGATAATAGTTAGCTATTTTTGTTGAATCTAAATCTCGAGAATATTTTAATATTAATTTGATGAAACATAATTTTTGGCATTAATAATTTGATGATTATTAATGCCAAAATTATGTAGAATCAAATTGTAAAATGTTTGAGAGATTTAGCAACAACAAAAATAGCAGAATATTAATCAAGGTCGTGTTATATTTGGGACGACTATTTCACTAGACCAAATATTGACCATTTCTCTAGAGAAGTAGTTGCTGATATTTGGTCTAGGGAGATAGTCATAATTATTTATATAATTATCTAACGCCTTTATAATTTTGACACCCTTTTGTTTCTTCATTATTAACTTTGCTTTAAATGACTAACGGCATTTTATTAGTTTGTTTTAATTATTTTCCAGAATATGCTCATATTTCCAGAGATTCCTCTGGTTCCTGGTCCATCCGTTGATCATTTTGACAGTCGCGGTAATGATAAACACATATTTCCTGTTTCCAGAAGAAAGGATGAAAGAGATTGTGATAAGAGGTTGGGATGCTACACAGCAATCGGTCATTTTCAGTATTGTCGATTCCATGGTTTACGGTAACTGGTTGTATGGTGTGGTTACTAATATTTTCATTCCAAACTGGTTATGTTTTTGGATCGTTTCGTTTTGTGTGTTTAAAGAAGACGAGATTGACACAGAAAAAACGGAAGATATAACCGATAAAGATATAAAAAAGACTAATTGAAATAATGCTGATATACATTATTTTGCTGGTTATCTAACATTTGGTTTATAAAAAATTTTAAAATTGCAGTAGGTAATTGTAGATGAATTAATTATGTTCGTCAAAATATTCTGATACTGAAAAAATGGTGATCAATTTTCTTGTACCTCATTATCCAAAAATTGGATAACTGTTGCATTTCTTTTGTATTGTGATATTAATAAAAAAATGATACATATAAATTGCTTTTATTTATAAATGACATTCCTGTCTAGTTATTACAGGCTTTTTCTGGTTATTTTGTTTTTTTGTTGTATCCGTTCATGAGTTATCGAGTATACCGACACACATCATCGAAAAAAATAATGATTCCTATACTTATTCCTTATCTGTATACAGACAGGTAAGTAAGAACTTATTTATAAACTCCTGCAATTTTAGGAAGTTATAGAGAAGGTATTGCATTTCTGTTTTGATGACTGTTTATTCAGAGGTGATTAAATAATTTTTTATAAAAATGACTTGAAACAAATGTAACTTTTATTTATTTAAACAATTTTTTGTGGCTTAGATGTATATATCTTATATGAGTTTGATTTTCATTCATTCTGTGCCGCCTTTGTTACTGTTTCCCAGCACCACTTTAGGAACGCCACTGTTAATTAGAACCCAACACTGAATGGTCGGAATGAGGTCTACCTAGACATCAATTTAAACAGTTTAATTTATTTATGACCTCATTTATTTATACTAATTTATATATCACATTTACATATATCACTAATTTATATGGACAATATTAATCTGCTTACAGCGATATCTCCACTTGAAATGACTATAACTGCACGTTTATAAATTGACCTTCAGCAAGAACTAGATTTCTGCCTTTGATTATTGTATGTGGCTGGAATGCAATTTTGTGACTTACTGATAGGAAACCCGTTTTAATCATTCATTCTATGTTTTCTTCCTAACAAAAATAAAAATATATATATAACAATCATTTTAACTTCACGCTACTATTTAATGGTTTTTTTTTTTATTTTGATAGAATAGGTTAATTCTTTAACGACAACTTATTAAACTTAGACAACTTATACATTTTCCCATAAATACTGTTGCCTGCAAAGCTCCTCTATTTACCTTTAAAACCCGGTCACACATTGCAAAGAAACGTAGCGCGTAGCTATTTCGTAAATGAACCGACATGCGTTGCTTGGTGCGGTGTTGCCAGGCTGTGTAATTTATCCCTTTCATATTTAAAAATAGTTTTTACCTACAACTCACTAATAGCAACAAATTTTATTAATTAGAATAGTTTCGAAATATATTGTGACACATCAAGCGTCCCCACCAATTCATTTTCGTACCTAGTGCAGTGTTTCCAACTCCAACGCATTGTGGGCAGAGATGTTGCAATATTTCCCGAAACATTTCTAAGTCTCCAAATAAAATGACTTTTAACAGAATAAAAAACGTATAAAATGTGTACAAAGTAGATTAAGCTATTTTAACCGCTTTCAGCAGACTTGATATTTAAGCAGCACCTATTTTCACACCATTATGCAGGGCATTTTTGTACCTATCGTTTTTACATACATACGCTTGCTAAATAACAACTTTTTAAATACTAAGATAAACTATTGCAAACACCATTATTAATCCTGAAAATAAATGCAAGGATTTTAATAGCGTTAAACGTGACACCACCGCAATTTAAAATAACCTTGTTTCATTCATACTATACGTCACGTATAGTATTTTATCCATCGATAGTTTGCGACGTTGCGATCCAGTAAATTGTTGCATATTGGGTGTTTTTGTTAATCTTTAGCCTTTTTTGGAAAAATTTCGGCTTGTAGGACATACAATAATAAACTGCCGAAATAAAAAAGAAGATGAAAAAACAAATAATACAGTATGGGATTCAGAAGATGACGAGCATGCCTATCCAGCATTTACAACCAGTTCTAAATCAAACAGATGGATATTTGATACAGGTGCAACTTCTCATATGTCTGGAAATAAAGATGCATTTTGTAATCTTCGTCCCTACAACAGTTTCATTCGACTGGGTAATGATAAAAAGATTGAAGTTACTCATATCGGAGAAGTTAAACTTAAAGCTATATTACCTGATGGTTCAACTCTGAATGTCAGATTACACAATGTCTTGTATGCTCCAGAATTAAAGTGTTCACTGATGTCTTGGGAAACTATCAGAACAAATGGAGTAACAATGAAAGGTGATAAAGATATAACATTATGGAAAAATGGACGTATGATTGGGTGGATTGTATCTCAATTAAAAGAAAATGTTTTCCAAGAAGCTAAGTTGCAATCATCTAATTTTAGTAATGCCTCAGAAAATATAACTAGTTGGCATAGACGATTGGGACATCTTCCTATAAGTTCCTTCCGAGATCTTAAGTGCGCAGTAGCTGATCCTAATGTTATTCCGAATATTAAATCCACCATAATAGACTGTAAAGCATGTGAACTTTCCAAAATGACTAGAAGAATAACAAGAGAGCCTGGAAATGTGTGTCAATACTTGCTAGAAAAAATTCACTCTGATATATGTGGACCATTCTCAACGAAATCAATAGGTGGAAGTCTATACTACATCTCATTCATTGATGAATATTCCCGTTACACAGAGATTAATTTTTTAAAACAAAAAAGTGATGCGCTAGAAGCAATAAAAGAGTATGTACAAAAGGTCGAAAAGCAAACAGGGAGAAACATTAAAATTTTCAAATCCGATAATGGAGGTGAATATAAATCTAGAACTTTACAATTATTCTTTAAGTCACGCGGTATAGAACATGAAAATTCTATACCATATTTACATGAAACGAATGGATTAGCAGAGAGACTAAATAGAACTGTAACTACAATGTCTAGAACCAATCTAATTGATTCTGATTTGCCCTTGACATTATGGGCAGAATCGGTAGCACACTCGGTATATATAAAAAATAGAATTCCTCACGCATTCAATAAAAAAACTCCCTTTGAAATGTTTTTTGGAATGAAACCAAAGATAGGTCATCTACAATACTTCGGCCAAAAGGCCTATGTAAATATCCCTTCGGCAACTCAAAAGCCAGGAAGCAAACTGAATCCTAGAGCCTACAAATCATTTCTAATCGGATTTGGCAAAAAAGGAGGCTGGTACCGGTTTTGGAATGGTAAAACTATAATTGTGTCGAAAGACTTTAAGTTAATCCCTCAAGAAGGTCAAGAAGGAGTAATATTTATATCACCATTAGAAAGAAAGGAACTAAACAATACCCCTGTACAAAATCCTAATGAAAATAGTGGAGAGACTGATCAAAGTGAAAATAAAGAAATTCAATTTAATTTGTCATCAACACCCTATGAGGAACCAGATTTAACACCAAATTATGTATCCTTCAGACGCAGCGCAAGAGAAAGTAAACCGCCTATTCGCTATACAGAGGAATTTTGTAACTTAGCTTTAGATGAACCACTTTCATATATAGATGCTGTTAGAGGACCTGAATCAGATTTATGGATAGCTGCCATCAATGATGAACTCGAGTCAATGAAGAAAAATAATGTTTGGGAGATTATTGAAATGCCTCCTGGAGAAAGAACCATTGGATGTAAATGGGTTTTTAAGAAAAAGCTAGGAGATAATGGGAAAATCTCCAAATATAAGGCAAGACTAGTAGCACAAGGGTATAGTCAAATACACGGTATTGATTTTGAGGATACTTTTGCTCCCGTAGTTCGCTACGAGACAGTTAGAATTTTACTAGCACATGCAGTTAACAAACAAATGGTTGCCAGACAGCTAGACATAAAGACTGCATTTCTCAACGGCGACATAGACTTTCAAATCTATATGAAATTACCAGAAGGTTTGAGTGAGGAACAAGGGAGAGTATGTCTTCTAAAAAGAAGTATTTATGGATTAAAGCATGGATTAGGAAGAAAGGATACGCAAAATCGAAAATGCTCTACAAAATAATTTTGAAGTCACTTTTCTTGGTATACCAAAATTTTTATTATCGTTACAAATTGAATGGGGCCCAACTTATGTATATATACATCAAAAACAGTATATTCTTAAATTACTGGAGAAGTATAAAATGTCTAACTGCAATCCTACATCTACGCCAATGGATCCAGGCTGCAAGCCACAAAAAGCAAAAGAAGGTGATTTGAGAACCGATAAAAAATGTTACCAATCAAAAATTGGAAGTCTTCTTTACCTCGCTACAGGAACAAGGCCAGCTATAACGTTTGCAGTTAATATATTATCACAATTTTGTGTAGATCCTACGGTTATTCATGATAATATGATTCAACATCTCTTACGTTATCTCAGAGGATCCGTAAATCAAAAACTTATATAAATACACAATTTCACCATCAATATCAATGTTTAGTGATGCTTCTTATGCAAGTTGCATTGATGATAGGCGATCGTATAGTGGATATATGGGCTTTTATGGATTGGCTCCTGTATCTTGGACTACTAAGAAACAGCAATCTGTGGCAGTAAGCACAACAGAGTCTGAATATATGGCACTAAGCATAGCTTGTAGACAAGCTATTTGGATGCAATATATCATAAAAGATCTTCTTGGTCAAACCAATACACTATTACTTTGTGATAACCAGGCCGCAATACATATTTCTGAAAATCCAGCTCTTCATCAACGAAGCAAGCATATAGATATTCAGTATCATTATGTTAGGGAACGCGTTATATCGAAAGATGTTAACATCGAATATATTCAATCAAAGGAAAATATTTCAGATATGTTAACAAAGCCTTTATCAAGAGATTCCTTAAATTATTTATGTGCAAAAATAATGGAGAATACACACTGAGGGAGAGTGTTGAAATTTCCCAGTGTAATTCTCAATTATTATTATTAACTTCACTCTGTATATTGAATGTGTTTGCTAGATTTTAATATGATGTCTTTGTTTTTGACAGTGATTTGAAACTATTTTTTGATTAAAAATATATGTTTGTCAAAGTCTCTTAAGTTATTACCTCAGATAAATTCAATAGTGTATAGCTAACAACATGGTTCGCGAGTGCCTTTTGTGCAAAAAAATTGTAATTAATAGAAACACTTTAGTCTGGACTATAGTAGTAAAATAAATATGCTTATGCTTGATTTTCAGATTCCCCACTGAAAGGCATACAAGAAATATTTGGCTATCACTTCGTTTGTTTCGGGTATCTGTTATTTTGATTTTGAAAAACGTACCTAAAACTCTAAGTCTCTCATCTGACTGCAAAAAGTGGCATGTGGTGTTTTTTTGATTGCTATTTTAGTTCAAGCAACGAATGCTCAAAAATAGGTATAGAAGGAAGTGACTTTGTTTGGACTAGTTAGGAGGTGAACATATCAAAAGTCCCCGCCCGTAGCCTTTGAACCAAGGGGTCCGAAGGTCCCATTTTTCGGTTTTTGGCTTATATCTCGGAAAATATGCGTCCTAGCGACATGACTACTCAATATAAAATGAAAGCTTATTAGATTTGCTACCAGTTTTACTCAGTCAAGTTTTTCGATATCCTGTATAGTTTTCGATATATCAGCTCTTGAAGTCTGTGACGATGCACCCAAAAAATAATTGCCGACCATAGGGTTGTAGAGAATTAAATTCTCTTCAATAATATATATTACTTTAGTATTTTTTCTACTTTCCTTCAAATGTTAAAGCAATTTCAAAATTGAACGTGAAACCTGAAGTTTTGCAACTAATGAATCTTTCAATTTCTCACCATTCCCAGTCAACGTATTGACCGAAATATGCATAACAATTGTTTTTTTTTCTCGCTTAATAGCCCCGGTAACATAATTTCTAATATATTAATATTATCCAACCATTATCAGATCTAGAACTTTCAAATTTCCGAAATTCCATCTCAACTTACATTTTCTGTTTTGTAGTACCCCCGAAAGTCACAGAATAAACTCCAATGAATAAGGTAACGTAAGATAGATCGGCTCACATAGTTGCCAAACATAAGACAATTTCGCCAAATGCACTGACCTTTACATTACAATGTATTACAAAATGAGTCAAAACGAAATCAATACAAGACATGATTTAATTGAAAGGTAAAAATAGTCAACATTTTTGTATAGGAATAAACAAAAAACTATTACTTTTCGTAAAATCTTTACTTTGTAAAGCTGAAAAACAAAAATCAAACAACATATACATATATAAATATAAAAAAAAATATACAAAATCATTTTTTCCTATTATATTCACAATGCCTTTTTCTTTCGTTAACATTTCATCGAATCCATCGAGTACAAATATGCGTTACACCTTAAATATATTATAATTATATAAATTTAAAATGGAGAAGTATCTTTAAAAAGGAAATTTATAAAGGTTAAAAATTTGCAAGATCGATAAAAGTTAAAAAAGGGATTATAGAAGCCTTTTTGAAACAAACTGTAGGTATGGTGCCAAATGTGGTTGCTTGGTAACCTAATTCGACAAGTACGATTTAGATACGATGACAAGTGACAACAGTAGCAGTATTAAAAGTCGAAAGACGCTCAAAAAGGCTTATAAAACACATTATTAGAATTAGTAGAATCATAAAATTTAAATAATAATATCCTATTATGGGCAGTCTTGAAAATTGTTTACTATTAAACTTTATAAATAAATAAAAGTAGTTCAAATGAGCATTTTACTTATCTATTGCAAGATTAACAGTGAAAATGTCAATTCTACCACCACTAATTGCAAACTAACTCAACCGAAGTGGTAGAAATGACTTAATAATGGTAACTCAACTTTAGCTATATTTTCACTGATGCATATATTATCTTATAACGTACTATAATTTGTAAAATATCTTATTAGTATTCATAAATGCGGTATGTATATTTCAAAAAATTAAAAAAATAAATGATAATACACGAAACGTATCTAAAAAGACGGCATAATTTCTTCACAATAAATAACATGTATATATTTTGTATTTCATATAATTTCTTTAGCTACTTTGTTTTTTTGGTAAATAAAATTTCTGAAATGGACTCAACTTTGGAACGAAAATCCACGTAGTATGATTACAGCACGATTATTGTAGTTACTCTTAATATGTGTTTTTTCAATGGTTACAAGTAAATATATAGATATTCATGAGAGTCTGGTTTATAATAACAAGTGACAAATTACACTTTATAGTTGTTTTATTAATTAGGAGCATTTGTTTGTTAATTCAGACTCTCACAAGAATAAAATTTTAAATGAAAAATGACAAGACGTGATCTAATTATATAAAATACACGTAGATGGGAAATCGAATACAAAAATGTGCAGGTCTTTGCTTGTATAATTTTAAATACTCCTAGAAACATTAGGAAAATTGTTGTAAACTAATGTTTGGTTAAAAGGAAGAATGTTGCACCTCCAAAATTGGTTATAATTTGTTTTTATTATTACATGATCCTCACCACTAAATATCATTGAGGATTTGAAGTTGGGGCTAATAACTTACTCATTTTATTCTCCCATTTTCTACCTACTTGCGATTAAAAAAATAATGCTAAAATAAAGCTAAACTGCACAATGCAATGTAGTATAACAAAAAAAAAATGGTAAAATTGTCACGTTCTTGTCATCTGTCAACAAAAATGGATTCATGTACCGTAATTTTTCCTAGTTGCCTATTTTTCATTCCTCCAATTTTATTGAATACACATTAAGAACAATAAACGGAATATTCAACTTTCCAAAATTTGTCATTAATACTGATATGCAATTCCTTACCGAATTTAATTTCCTAACCACGCCTGTGAAGCATTCTTGAGTTTAATGACAGTTTTGCAGAATTATCTAAACGATTACTGTCAATTAATCTACTACACGAATCCACTTTCAAATATAATTAACTAATATGTACAAGATGTCAATAGATGAATTTGTACGTATTATTAATTAGATTATATGATTACAACCAAGGGCAGTGTAATTATTAAGCAAAAAATGAATGTACATTAATATATTTCCATCTTTCTTTAAAAAAAAACAACCTTCTAACTATTCAGCCCTAGATAAGCTTCGATTAGGAAGAACTAATAAATAAAATAATCACACGTTTTATTTTTCATATCAAACACTCGCACACACTCGAAATAGTTTTACACGTACCAATGCTGGAATGACAGCCAACATAACCTCGAAATTCATTCAAACTAACTATCCAAAACTTTGGCGTTTAAGCTAGACGACGACGCCGATTGGATGTTGTTGGTGTAGAGCGGCATCTGGACGAAGGTGCAGGAAACTGGCGTGGGAGAAAGGGTAGTTGGGTAAGGTAGGGAGTTGTCTGTAGCGGATTTTGGTTCTTCCTCGATCGGACGATCTGACTCTGGGAGCGAATCGTTGGATTTGAAAATTTGTTTGTTGATGTGCGGATGACGGATTCGAATCGAGTCTACGACGTCCAGGAGGTTTTTCGAGTCCATCGCCAAAACGTGAGCAGCTCCCAGCATTCCCCTGTAAGAAAGTAAAAGTTAAAAATCGTTTTAACTGCTGGTACATGTTATAAATTCCAAAATATTGACCCTAATATTCAATTCAATCAAAATTATGTTCTGTGACACAAATTGTTAAAAATCTACATATTTTTAACTGTAAATAAATAATACTAAATACGCCTCTGTGCAAGCGCGAGTCCACAGTAACTATTATTTAAAATGCAGTCAAACCGGAAGTAAACAATTATAAGCAAAATAATCTTGACCCTAGCTTTGCAAGTGCCGATGGACTGTAAACAGGCTATAGTCACTCATATATAATATGTATAAGAAAGGCAATAAAAAGAAGCCCATAAACTACCATCCAGTCAGTCTTACAAGCTGTGTCGGTAAAGCAATGAAAAAATATTACAAAAAAGTAATCGAGTTTACGATGGAACACAGGGTTTTATCAAGCGGATTTATCCCCAAAATATCCGTTGTAACAAATATCCTAAGTGCTGTTAACCACTGAATAGCTTGACATGATAACAACCAGCCAATGGATGTGATATATCTTGATTATGAGAAAGCTTTTGATACAAGTTTTACATAGAATGCTGCTTAGTAAACTAGAACACTTTGGAATAAGAGGCAATCTATTATTGTGGATCAAGAGTTTATTATCCAACCGGCAGTTCTGCGTGAGATTAAATGGACAGTTATCAAACAACCATCCAAAAGAAAGTGGAGTACCACAAGGTTTGGTTCTGGGTCTCCTATTATTAATTTTATACACCAGCGATTTATACAAAATCATCGAGTCTGAAGCTGACGGAAAGATCTACTGCAAGCCAATGGAAAGCTCTCATAAAATGAAACAATACATGAAAAAAATAGGGATTTGGTCTCAGCAATGGTTACTACCCCTTAACATAAATAAGTATTGTACATTGGCCCAAATAATCCCCAAACACAGTACACCATATATACAAACGCAATAACTCAAGTCGAAACACAAAAGGATCTTGGTGTAATCATATCTAGAGACTGAAAATCCACATTGCAAATGTAGTGAAGAAAGACAACAGTCTCATGTATATTATCAAAAAAAGAGCATTCTAAAGATATGATCCTAAAACCATACACAACTTACATAAAACAAAAGATAGAATTTGCATAGACCGTTTGGGATCCATACTTAGCTAAAAGCATTGAACTGCTGGAAAAATAACAAAGGAGAGTCACCAAAATACCACCAACATTACAAAACAATGAGTATTGTGATCGGCTAGCCAAACTACAACTTTCAAGTTTAAAGGATAGAAGAATTAGAGGAAACTTGATTGAAACTTAAAAAGTGGACCAGTGGATATTACTTCTTAGAAATTAGATAAAGAAAAGTGTAACAAATTTCAAAGAAAAAATTTCATTACAAACAGAATTGTATATATGTGAAATGGTCTCCAGAAATATAGTCTTAGCCCAGAACAGTTCAAGGCAAGAGTGGATAAAGAACTCGAAGAAGGAAGAAATATTTTTTTATCTTTTTTGTGAAGCCGGCGACAAGTATCAATAAAGTAAAGTATCAATAAAGTACAGTATCAATAAAGCACAGTATCAATAAAGTAAAGTATCAATATAGTAAAGTATCAATAAAGTAAAGTCTCAATAAAGATCAATCAAATAAAGTATCTATAAAGTAAAGATAAAGATCAATAAAATAAAGTAAAGTATCAGTAAAGCAAAGTATCAATAAATTAAAGCAGTATCAATAAAGTAAAGTATCAGAATCAATAAAGTATCAGTATCAATAAAATATCAGTATCGATAAAGTAAAGTATCAGTAGCAATAAAGCATCAGTATCAATAAAGTAAAGTATCAATCAATACTTACTTTCTATACTCAGCATCCAAAGTTGTATTACTATACTGTTGCGCCAATTTCATAGCGTTCACTAATTCGGCCATATCTTTCGACAGCACCTTGTGGGCCATTTCCACCTCTCGTTGAGCTTGAGTCGGAAAAGACGAAACGATCTCGTCGACGCTGGCCAGCAGCGACCTCAATTCTACGCCTACTTTTTTGACTAGATCGAGATACTGGTCGGCTACCGCCTGTTGGACGCCTTGGGACAGCGACATGACCGCTCTGACTACGTCCGTCGTACATTCGTAGACTCTGTCGTGTGTACGATCCAAGTTTGCTGTCGGATTCGGAGATGGTTCCTGTGGTACAAAGTAGAACAGTAAAGTACATTACATTCGTCAGATCTGTTTGGTTTACACTATACATATGTGATGTGGAATTGATTGTGAGGTTTTTCAGATATTATGCAATTATGATGCAAATTAGGACTGAACTGGCTATGTTATATATTTTTTTATAGAATTTAAAAAGCAATTGAAGAAAAGTCCGAAACTGGCCGATATTTTTTGGACACGATGGATAAAAGAGTATCTTCCAACTTTGACGAAGAGATTAAAATGAAATAATGACTCAAAAGTTTTGAGTCAAAATCGCTAGAAGAGGGACATATTGTCATTCTTATAGAACCGAATGCACCAAGAAATTATTGGCCTTTAGGAGTGATCCAAAAGTTGTTGGCTGGAAAAGACGGAAGAGTTCGTGTCGTTGATATCAAAACGAAAGATTCTACTTTTCGGCGAACAGTCACTAAAATATGTAAATTTAGTGAAAATTAGATTGGACAAGATTAGAATTATTTTCACGGGGGGGGAGGATGTTATATATTTTTTTATAGTTAGTATATAGTTGATGCAATTAAAGATATATTGATATAATTTATTGTAGTTACTTGGTTTTTTGACAATACTTGTCAGATTATAAAAATTGTAAAAATAAAATAAAGAAGTATTTCAAACTGAATTTTACTGTGTAAAATAATAAAAGAGAAAAACTTAAAATAAACCAAACAGGCTAGATACTAACTATCGTGAAATGACTAATCTTCACTTATTGAAGAGCAGATTTACTATTCTTTCATGAGTTGTTTAATGGTGTAAAAAATTGTCCGGAACTGCTTACTTTATTTAACTTTTATGTTGGATCAAGAACTAGAAATAGACCATTGTTGTATAAAAATAGACATATGACACATTATCTCGTGAACTGAATAGCCAATCGTGTCCAAATGATATATTTTTTAATCCATTTAGAATGTTTCAAGGAATATTACAATTAGAAGAAAGGTTTGTGTGCTATCTAAGTAAACTATTTAAACTTATTGTAATTGAGTATTTTGTATTAATATAGTATTTTTTATACGCAATTCTTTTAATAGGTCAAAATACCTGTCAACAACTAAAAAAATATTAAAACGATTAAATAAATTAAATAAAAAGAGGAAAGAAGTAGAATATCGACACTTATTATTGGATAAACCTTACCTTCTTCTCGGATTCGTCTATCACAGATCCACTTTGACAAGAGTCGTCCTTTCTGTCGTCGCTCTGGTTGCTCCTCAAGGTGTTGTTCAGAGATCCGAGCGGAGAGTGGCTCTTGCTACTGCTCACCGATCCCGTACTGCTGTGCATCCCGTTACCTTTGCTGCCGTGAGACGAGGCGGTATTCGAGGCGGGTTGATAAGGGGCGGGACTGATGTAACTCGGACTGGTGGGCGGTGAGGTTAGAGTGCTCTCCGTGGTGTCGGGCTCTTGGGTGAGGCTCAGGCGTTTCTGAGAAAAAGTTATGAGTAAAGGTAATGAGAAAAAATTATGTGAAAAAGTTATGAGAAAGTGTTATGAGAGAAAGTTATTTTCAGCTATTATAACCGATTTTAAAACTGCGTCAGTATATTACGATATATTATGGAAGATGTGGATTATCCAATTAATGTTTGTTTTAGAAAATGAAAACAAATTTGGAAGCCTGAAAGTGTGGCTATTGGAAAGCAAAACAGCTCATGCTCGCCAATATATAAGCTGCTCAGTTTTTATTTAAATCGGGCTTGCCAAGGACATTAGACACATTTCATTGTGTATCATTTTAATATTTTAAAAGTTATGTGTAGAGAGATTTCATATTTATCATTTGAAGAAGCATAGTAGGAGTTGGGGCTCTCTCTGGAACGTTTTCTCCACTTTTTAATGGCGTTATGCGCTAGCACCATACCTTCACCTGTCATCTGTCAACAGTGTTACCTACCTAACCTAATTTAGCAGTGTTATCGACTTAACCTAACAATGTTCTAAAGTAGAAGACCCATTTTTTAATTCGTTTAATTTTTATGAGCAAATTATATCTAGTTTTATATATAGAAAAAAAAAATTTTAAACATGATAAATAACAAATAAAAATTATTAATTTCTTCAAAATATCTAATAGATTCAATAAGAAATAATTGAAACTGATAAAACCATAGAACAAGTATATACGAAATCTAAAAAACAATGTTTTAAACAATTACCAGGTGTGTCTCGGACTCCGCCAGCCACTTAGAATCTTCCTCGGATTCCATTTGTTGTTGTTTGAGTTTCTGCCGGAGTACGACGTTAAAGTTGGTCGAATTGTCGTATCTGTTGTTTTCGAATAACAGTTGATCACCATATAGAGAGGATACAGGCTGAAAATAATCGTTAATAAAAAATATTGCAAAAAAAATTGGGTATTAACTAATTTAAAGTCCTGATTTTTATTTACTTCAAAATAAATATTTGATTTTCTCGAAAAACAAGAGATGAGATGAATAAAGTAAAATGGAAGGAATCATGGGAGAATTAGAAAAGAGACGAAACAAGATACAGTGATAAAAAAGACACGGTTGAGAAAAAATTAGTAGAATTGAGAGGAAAAGTATAAGACGAAAAAGATAAGACTTGTGATAAAATGAGTCAGGAAAAGACAAATAAAATTATGGAGAAATTGAATTAAAAATAATAAAATATGAAACGGGAGATAATAGGGATAAAAAAAGACAGAAGATACATACAATTATGAGGAAATAGAAGGAATAGAGGTATTAAATAAATAAAAAAAAAAGAGATGAAACAAGAGTTATAATATAAATAAGAGAAGAGCAAATAAAGTATCACAGAAGGAGAATTAATAAGATAAAATAGAGTAGTAAAGAAAAAATAAATACAAATAGAAGAAAAAGTTGCAAAAAGAATAGTTGACAAATAAAATATATTTTTTTTTTGTTAAATTTCACAATGATTTAACAGAATTAAAGAAAATTGATACATTTTAAAGAGTAAATAGTAATTTTCTCTTAATTTGTATTTATTTTTACACAATTTCGACTCATCCTAAATATTTTTATTGGCAACTTGAGATTGCATAAAACAGTTTTTTTATCAAAATAGGATAATAGGATAAAAAAATCAAAAAAGGTGCAACATGCATTTTTGTAAAATAAATAACACAAAAACAGCGTGCAAACGTAGTAAAAATGTTACCATGACGTAGAGGTAAAACTAAAGATTAAAACACATGCTTCAACATGCACAACAAAAACACACTTTGTATACTTTTTTGGATAACACTAAAAAAATTCAAAATATAGGAACCAAAAAAAAAAATGGTGGAAATATGTCCAACTGGTTATTGTAACCACAGAAATAATTTTTTAAACGATATGTTTGCGAGTTCCATTAAACTAGAAGTAGTTCAAATGTTGCCAAACAGAAATTTGTAAAGAAAAATTAATATTCTTGAATTTCAATGAAAATCTTACAAAAAAATTATTCTCTATCAGATAAATTTTATATGAAATAGTTCAAATGTCCCTATTTTATTGTTTTCAATGCGAATTGTATAACAAAATGTATTCTCCATTTATCCTTTTTTTATTTGACATAAACAGAATGCTGTAGATTTAGTAAAATAAATATAAAAGACAAACGAAGTGGTGGAATGAAAAAATAAGACTAGAAATAAAATTGAAGAAACAGAAAGGGAAAAAGATATAAACAACAAAGAATAAAAATCAAAGAACTAAACAGCAGATATAAACAACAAAGAATAAAAGTCAAAGAACAAATAAAAACAAAACAAAAATAATGGCAAAAGTTTGGAGAAACAATGGAAAAAGATAGTGATGGCAATCAAAAATAGTTTTTTGGAGAACTAAAAAAATCTAAGAAGAGGCAAACACAGTAGAAGTAGCTTTATTAAGTCGAAAGAAGAAACAATAATAGAAGACGAGAAAGACAAATGAAGTGTATTCAAGGAATTATTACACAGTAGAGAAATAATGGATATAGTAGAAATGCAAAATGGCGAATCCAATATAGCGCCTGAAAATATTAAAAAATGTTTATTTTGCATTAAAATAAAAACTGGCGGTTTCTAGACGGTTTTGGGGGCACTAAAAAATAGAAATGCAAAATAGCAGATCCAATATGGCGGCCGAATATATTAAAAATGTATTGTATTGAATAAGAATGAAACCTGGAGGTTTCTAAGGAGTTATTGGGGTAGCCGAATTTGAATATGACATTTAAAATTAGAATTGCAAAATGGCAGATCCAATATGGCGCCCGAAATTATTAAAAATTTCTCGTAATTATTAAAAATTTCTCGTTTTGGATTAAAGGGAAACCTGGTGGGTTTCTAAGAGGTTTCACGGTTACTGATTTTGAATGAATTCAAAAATTTGAAATACAAAATGGCGAATCTAATATGGCGTCCGACAATTAAAAAATATATTGTTTTGCATAAAAATGAAACTTAGAGATGTTTCTAAGAGGTTTTTGGGGTCGCTGATTTTGAATATGACGTTAAAAACTAGAAATACAAAATGGGGAATCCAACATGGCGCCCGAAAATATTAAAAATTGCTTGTTTTGCATAAAAATGAAACCTGGTGGGTTTCTAAGGGGTTTTCGCGATTGCGGATTTAGCATAAATTAAAAAAAATTAAATACAAAATGGCGAATCCAATATGGCGTTCGAAAATTAAAAAAACATTGCTTTGTATAAAATTGAAACCTAGATGTTTCTAAGAGGTTTTTGGGGGTCGCTGATTTTGAATATGACATTAAAAACTAGAAATGAAAAATGACAGATCCAATATGGAAACAAAAAAAAAATAATAAAAATTGTCGATCAAAACTTAAGACTGTTAAAACTTATTAATTAATTATGACTTATTTTATTTTTCATTTGTATATCAATATCCGCCATATTAAATCAGCCAAAACACCAATATACGACATTTCATGGATATTGGAAAAGTTTTCATTCACAATCCGCCATTTTGAATCTTCCATTTTTGACATTGACTCGCAATCAGCGGCTCCAAAAATCTAAAAGTTTCAATCCAGTAGAGTTTAAAAATTCCGTCGGCCATATTGGATCCGACATTTTAAATTTTAGTTTTCAGACCGATTTCATATTCAGGGAGTAATAAGTTTCATAAAATGATCTTCACTAGAAGGAAACGTGCAACAAAGGGTTAAAAAAACAGTCACTTGTATTTACTTTAAAAATTATATCTCCCAGATAGGGTTCTATTGGGTTATTCACGAAACGGTTTTAGGAAGAGTAGAGTCCCACCTAACATTCAAGCCAATAAGCTTGTTATTGTTTGTCATTCGGAAGTTCTAGTCTCTTAAATATCAGAAACTGATAAAATCATGTAATTCAAGTTTCTCCACCAGAATGACCAAATCTTAATTTATTATTATTATTATTTTCAAGCATTAATTAATGCTAAAGCATTGATTTGTACGTCTTCAACATTTGAGGATAAAAAAAAAACGAAGAAACAATAATCTTTCATGATTCCGAGGTACATTTTTACACTCTCGAACACAAAATGTGAAAAAAAAAATACTTTGCGCCCAGCAAATGGTTTCATTTCCCCAGGTCTTACTAATGTTTATAGAAACTTTTCCAGTCATTAAATATTACAAACTTTTGGCCAATAAATAGGTGAAATGTCCCACGGTGCATTATGCAGTGTGCATCGCTGTCCCATTAAGTGAAGTAGTTCAAATGTCACATTTTAACATTATTACGAAATTAATCAAAATGTAACCTTGTAGTGATTTCAATATCTTACTTTTTAATTTCACCCTGTAGGATATTATTTTTGAATAATCAAAATAGGGTTGTCAGTAATAAAAATTACGAAAATATATAAATTTTTATATCTGTATAATGTACTTAAGTATACAATGTATTTAAGTATCCTACATTGTACTGAAGTATATTTCAGAAGTTAACTACTCTATAAAGTACTTAAGTACGTTTTCATGTACTTAAGGCTAATTTACTTAATTTTTAGGATTTAATTACTAAGTACTTAAATACCGAATAGATGTAATTGTACTTGTACTGATACTGGTACTTACTCGCAATTTTTAAAAGTACTTGTACTTGGGACTTAAGTACATGTTACAGTCTCACATGGTGTAATTCCAAAGTAAACAAGTATTTTGCTTAACTGCTCCTTTGTCAAATTCTGCAGATCTTTCACCATGCTTAATGTGCAGTATTTTTCCAGTCGGGGTCACCAATTGTAGTAATCATACAATTTATAGATTTTCGTAATCTTTATTACTGACAACCCTATTTTGATTAGTCATCAAAGTCAAAAATAATATCCTACAGGTTGAAATTAAAAAGTAACATATTGAAATCACCACAACCTTATAAAAAACAAGATCCAGCAGCGTATGCTCCAAAAACTCAAAACAAAAACCATTCCTCGAAAACCAAGCCACAAAACAAAAACGCACACACAAAATAAGAACACGCCTTCATGCACATATCTCTCGAACCTGCTGCGCGGCGGCCTTTTGCACGAAAAATTGCTGTTTGTGGGCGCAACTCTTTACATCCGCCCCGCCGAAATCGTAAATACTCTCCTCGAAATGTTGCATCTCTTTCGCCTTATCGCTAAATTGATAAATGACGGGAGTGGGATGGAAATGGGGAATGCTATCTACGTCATAACCGCCGGGTTGGGTTTGCTGGGGTTGTTGCGGCTGCGTAACTGCCTTTCGATCCAGAGATCCCATTTTGGACGGCGTGAATTTACCCTGCCGTTCCAGCGACCCCATTTTCGGGGAGGTATTCCGCGAAGATTTACGTTCCAACGAGCCTAATTTGGGACTGAACACGCCTGAAGTGCTGTGTGGTGTCGCGTTGCGTTCTAAAGAGTTTCCGAATCGCGGTGACCCAGTACTATCCATACTCTTTCGTTCTAGCGAACCCATTTTGGGCGTCGCGCTGCCGGTACTCGATCGAGACGGCGTTCGTTCTAGAGTACCGGTTTTCTTTTCCGGTTTTTCCGGCCCCGTCGGGGTATCGGGGACCTCTGGATCGAGTTTTTGGAGGTTTTGCATGGGAATGGGTTTCGTTATTAGAATGGGATCGATGGAATCCTCTTTTTTTTCGAAGTTTACTGCTACTGTGTTAAATACCGAAGCTGGTGTGACGTAAGCTGCCGGGTTGAAGCCTCTGCATTCGTTTTCTTTCATCAGGTGGGCCAACACTTCGGGATTTTGGGCCACTATGTAGGTCTGGGGGATGAAGCTGGGCGGGCCGTCTGATTGGAACGATGAAGGGTCCACTCCTGAAAGAAATCATTCATTTATTGTGAAGAAAAATAAAAATACTCCTTAAAATATTATGTATTTACTATTGCGACCGGTGTCAAAGTGATTAGATTGCAAACAAATTTATTATTAATACCACAAGATGGTTTTCATGAATCTCTTTTCAAAAGTAATACTATCACATGTTCATCAATCTCTTTATTTTAAATTTGTATCTAAATTTATATCACAGAATAAACAATATACAATTAACATTATTTAATTATTTAAATATACATAAGAAAAATATTATTCCAAATTCAATCTCCAGTTCAATGTTTTGAAATTATTTAAAAATAACAATATTACCTGAAGTGAAATTGGAACAAGTTTATAGTACCTACATATGAAATAAACATTTAAATTAAACAAAAAAAATTATTCCATGTCCAGGATGTTAATTTAAAATGTGAATATAAATAAAAATCTGAACACAAAATCAAAAATACTTCATCCTCTGGCAAAACTAGTGAATAAAAAGAAACGTGGTAGATTATTTTGGCAAAATTATATAGACACTTAAACTAACAATAACTAATATAATCATTTACGCAACATCTTTTTTGATAATACACAATAACAACATTAATATAACATTGCAGGTGAAGTTAATTGAAAATTACAAAAATAGATGTCCATGAACTTGTTAAAATGTAGAACGACTCTAAGTTTAATTTATTTATTAATATTGTTTGGTATTAAACGTGTCCCTTTCGGGATTAAAGTGGACTGTAATATATATTTAATGTTACGCGAATTAAATTAAAATGCTGTTCAACTTTATAACTGAAATTTAATTTTAAATAAACGATATATAAAAGATACAAATGAACTATCAATCAACAATGATCGTAGATTTACGTTCTTGCAAGCGGTGTTGCCAAGTGATATAAAAAATACATAATTTGAATATTAATTGTAAAATGCATATGAGGCCGAACCATTATTAAATTTGTGATAATTATGGTAAGTTTTTTACCTTGCATGGGATACCGACTAGGCTTAGGTGGAATGAATTCGTCGGTGGGTCCCCAAGACATGGCCGCCATTTTCCTATTTTCCCTCCTTAACGTGTCCTGCTGGACGCTTCTCTCTTCATACAAAATTTCTTGCAGGATTTCCTTGATGTCTTTGAAACTCGGTCGTTTGCTCGGTTCGTAGGACCAGCATTGCGACATGAGCGAATAGAGGCGCGGAGGACAATCGGGCGGCAGAGCTAAGCGTTCACCGTTTTCTATTTTTCCTATTACGTCATTGTTTTTTACGCCTTGGAATGGTTTGACTCCTAACATTAAAATTTCCCAGATACACACACCTAAAAAATGTTTAGTAATATAGGTATAGTGCGGGTAGGAAAAGGCAAAACGTATTGTAATAATCAGTGATTATCAAAGATAACAGGAGATATTCCGATTTAGAACACCAAAAATCGATTTGTCCGACTTACAACTCGAAAAAATCCAATTTTTTGACATAGGACTCAGAAAACGAATATTATTCCGACTTAGCACTATGAAAATCAGATTATTTGTAGCACTTGTAAAAGTGATTTTTCCGACTCTAAACTCAGAAAAATAGATTATTCCGACTTAGAACTCGGAAAAATTGTTTTTTTTTTTTTGTCTTAGAAGTCGGAAAAAAGATTATTCCAAATTAGAACTCCTCTGAAAAATCGATTTATCCGACTTTGAATAAAAAAAAAATAGATTATTTCGACAAAGCACTTGGAAAATCATATTATTTCGACTAAGGACTCGAAAAAAAAATGATTTTTCTGATTCAGAACTCGAAAAATAGATTATTCAGACCTAGAACTAGAAATACAAAGATTATTTCGATTTAGAACTCGGGAAAAATTTATTAAACCGATTTTGTACTCTGAGAAAAAGATCATTCCGAATTAGCATTCGGAAAAATAGATTATTCTGACTTAGAACTCGGAAAAATTGATTTGTCCCACTTAAAACTCGAAAAATAAATTATTCCGACTCTAAACTCAGAACAATCGATTTGTCTGACTTTGAATTAGGAAAAAAATAAATTATTTCTACTAATCATTCGAAAAATCAGATTGTTTCGACTTAGAACTCGGAAAAATTGATTTTTCTGAATTAGAAGTCGGAAAAATAAAATATTCTGACAAAGAATTCGGAAAAAATCGAATTGTTCGAGTTAGAACTCAAAAAACAATGAATATTCCGACTTTGAATTCGGAAAAATAGATTATTCCGACTAAGCACTCAGAAAATTAGATCATTTCGACTCAGAACTCGGAAAAATAGAATATTCCGAATTAGAATTCGGAAAAAATTGAATTGTTCAACTTAGAACTCGGAAAAATAGAATATTTCGACTTAGAACTCGGAAAAAATCGAATTGTCCCACTTAGAACTCGGAAAATAGATTATTCCGACTTAGCATTCGGAAAATTAGATTATTTCGACTTAGAACTCGGAAAAAACTGATTTTTCTGAATTAGAACTAGGAAAAATATAATGTTCCGAGTTAGAATTCGATAAAAATCGATTTGTCCCACATAAAACTCGAAAAATAAATTATTCCGACTCTAAACTCAGAAAAATTAGGAAAAAAATAAATTATTTCGACTAATCATTCGAAAAATCAGATTGTTTCGACTTAGAACTCGGAAAAAATGATTTTTTTGATTTAGAAGTCGGAAAAATAAAATATTTCGACATAGAATTCGGAAAAAAATTGAATTGTTCAGCTTAGAACTCGGAAAAATAGAATATTTCGACTTAGAACTCGGATAAAATCGAATTGTCCGACTTAGAACTCGGAAAAATGATTTTTCTGAATTAGAACTGGGAAAAATAGAATATTCCGACTTAGAATTCGGAAAAAATTGAATTGTTCAGCTTAGAACTCGGAAAAATAGAATATTTCGACTTAGAACTCGGAAAAAATCGAATTGTCCGACTTAAAACTCGGAAAAATGATTTTTCTGAATTAGAACTCGGAAAAATAGAATATTCTAACTTAGAATTCGGAAAAAAATCGAATTGTTCGACTTAGTACCCGACTTAGCATTCGGAAAATTAGATTATTTTGAGTTAAAACTTGGAAAAAATGAACTTTTCTAAATTAGAACTCGGAAAAATAGAATATTCCGACTTAGAATTCGGAAAAATCGAATTTTTCGACTTAAAACCCGGAAAAATAAATTATTCTGACTTAGCATTCGGAAAATTAGATTATTTCGACTTAGAACTAGGAAAAAATGATTTTTCTGAATTAGAACCCGGAAAAATAGAATATTTCAACTTAGAATTCGGAAAAATCGAATTATTCGACTTAAAACCCGGAAAATAGATTATTCCGACTTAGCATTCGGAAAATTAGATTATTTCGACTTAAAACTCGGAAAAAAAGATTTTTCTGAATTAGAACTCGGAAAAATAGAATATTCCGACGTAGAATCCGGAAAAATCGACTTGATCGACTTAGAACTCGGAAAAATAGATTATTCCGACTTAGAACTCGAAAAAACCGATTTTTCCAATCAAGAAGAAAAATTGAGATTAGGTAAAAAAGCAGAAGATGGTAAAAAGGTAGAATGACGCCTTGAAGATAAAACAGTTTTATGTATTTTTATTTCGTTTACAATATAGGTATAATAAAAATTTCTCTATCGTTTTCAATAAAGTACCTAGAGGAGCCGTACACTAATTAATATATCAAAGTACTTACCGAACATCCATACATCACTAGCAGTCGTAAATCGTCTAAAATTAATACTCTCCGGACTCATCCATTTGATGGGCAACTTCCCCTTCGAGGCCTTGTAGTAACTTTGGTCGTCGCCCATCCACCTCGACAGGCCGAAATCGGCCAATTTGACGCACTTGTCGGTGCTGACGAGCACGTTCCTAGCGGCTATATCTCTATGTACATATTTCTTAGATTCTAAATAACTTAAAGCGGTCGATAATTGGAATGCGTATAGTAGAAGGGTAGCGAGATCCAGGCGGTTTTTGTTCTTTTGGAGATAGGATCGTAGCTCGCCAAGCTTGGCTAGTTCCATCACGATCCATACGGGCGATTCGGAACACACTCCTATCAGTTTTATAATGTGTTGGTGGTCGAATTTTTGCATAATATCTGAAAGAAAATTGTTGTATACTCGTTCAATTTTGTTGTATGAAAAATAAATAAAAAATTAAAAAATAAAATTAAAAAAGGGAGATTAGTAAAATCAAAAAAAAAACCGAAAGTACATCGAAATAGATCTTGATTCTTAGAGCCAAACTAAAAACCAAATTCCTCACAATTTCTTTGTATGTAAAGTATTAAAAAATATAAAATGAGAAAGAATTAAAAAATAAATGTAACGAAATAGACTAAATTGTAAAGCCAAACTCAAAACTAGGAAAGCGTAGAAGAACCACAAAATAAGATTACTGAATTGAAACTCGAAAAAGTCGATTTGTCCGACTTAGAACTCGGAAAAATACATTATTCCGACTTAGAACTCGGAAAACTAGATTATTCCAAATTAGAATTCAAAAAAATCTTAGATTATTCCGAATTAAAACTCGGAAATTTAATTTATCCGACTTGGAAAACAAAAAAAAAAAAAAGATTATTCCGAACTAAAACTCGAAAAAATGATTTTTCTGACTTAAAACTCTGAAACATTCCGATTATTCCGACTTAGAATTCAGAAAAATTTTAGATTATTTCGAATTAAAACTCGGAAATTTAATTTATCCGACTTGGAAAACAAAAAAAAAAGATTATTCCGAATTAGAACTCGGAAAAATACATTATTCCGATTTAAAACTCGGAAAAATAGATTATTCCGATTTAAAACTCGGAAAAATAGATTATTCCGACTTGGCACTCGAAAACATAGATTATTTGGATTTAGAACTCGGAAACATAGATTATTTTGACTTAGAACTCGGAAAAATAGATTATTCACACGTAGAACTCAGACAAATCGATTATTTCGATTTAGTACTCGGAAAAATATATTTTTGTTCGACTTAGAACTCTGATTATTTTGATTTAAATCTCGTAAAAATCGTATTTTTTTACTTAGAACACGAAAACGTAGATTATTCCGAATTAAAATTCGGAAAAAATCGACTTCTACGACTTTGATCTCGGAAAAAGTTTATTCCGACTTAGAACCCGAAAAATCGATTTTCTGACGTTTAACTTGGAAAATAGATTATTCCGGCTTAGAACTCAGGAAAAGCAAAAATTTTAAAATAGAACTCAAGAAAATAGATTATTCTGACATTCGAAAAAATCTATTAAGAGCTCGGGAAGATAAATTATTTCGACTTAGAACTCAAAAAACTAGATTATTTCGACCTAGAACTAGGTAAAATAGATTCATCCTACTTAAATCTAGGAATAATCTTAGATTATTTCGAATTAATTCGACAAACCGATTTATCCAACTTATAACTCGGAAAAATAGATTATTCCAGCTTAGAAATCGGAAAAATCGAATTTTTTGACTTAGCACTCGGAATAAAATAGATTATACCGGTTTAGAATTAAAACAAATCGTCATGTACGACTTAAAACTTGGAAAAATAGATTATTTCGACTTAGAACCCAGAAAATTCGATTTTTTTATTTTATAACTTGGAAAGATAGGTTATTCCGACTCAGAACTTGGAAAAATCGATTTTTCTAACTTGGAACTCTGAAAAATTGATCATTCTGACTTAAAACTCGAAACAATAGCTTATATTTTGACTTAAATCTCGTAAAAATCTTATTTTTTTTACTTAGAACTCAAAAAAAGTAGATTCCGATTTAAAATTCGGAAAAATCGACTTCTACGATTTAAATCTCGGAAAAATAGTTAATTCCAACTTAGAACCCAAAATAATCGATTTTCTAACTTTTAACTCGGAAAAATAGATTATTCCGCCTTAGAACTCGGAAAAATCGAATATTTTGACTTAGAACTCGGGAAAATAGATTATTTCGAATTAGCACTCGAAAAAAATCGAATTTTTTTACTTAGAATTCGAAGAAATCGACTTGTTCGATTTAGAACTCGGAAAAACATATTATTCCGACTTAGAACTAGCAAAAATCGATTTATCCTACTTAAAACTCGGAAAAATAAATCATTCGGACTTAGAACTCGATAAAATCGATTAATTCGACTCATAACTTGGAAAAATAGATTATTTTGATTAAAAATCTCTGAAAAATAGTTTATCTCGATTTAGAACCCGAAAAAATCGAATTTTTTGACTTAGAACTCGGAAAAATGGATTATTCCGACTTAGCACTAGAAAAAAATCAATTTTTTTTTTATTTATTCCGATCTAGAACGGGAAAAAATCGATTTATCCGAATTTGAACTTGAAAAAAAAAAGATTTTTTTCAACTCAGAACTCGGAAAAATCGAGTTTTCTAACTTAGAACTCTGAAAAAGGATATCTATTTTACTTAGAATTCGGACAAATCGATTTTTTGGAATTCTATGTAGGAATAATCGATTTTTCCGAGTTCTATGAAGGAAAAAAAGTAAAAATAAAAAAATTATAGAAAGGAAAAATGGCAAAATGAACTTTGCTTCCTGAAGCCAAAATCAAGACAAAACCAAACACACACTTTTGGCATATATAAAGTATTTTCAGTGGGCAAAACAAAAAATGCAAAAGAGTAAAAACTTACATGCTTCTTCTAGGAACTTTTCGGTGGTGGCGAGATCCGCGTCTCCCTTACAAGTCTTAACAGCTACCGGTATAAGGAGATTCTCCTTTGTCTTTACTATGCCTTTGTGCACGTCGCCGAACTGGCCTTCGCCCAGTATTTCCTGCAGCTCGATTTGGTTCCGGTTCAATTCATAATTTTTCACTGAAATCAATTTATATATTGCTGGTACACAAGAATAGTGACACAACTCAAAAACATCAATTTTAAAGGTTTTGTTTCCTGTAAGGCAAACAACTTTAAATATTTTTTGGGAATAAACCCAAAAATATTATATCTTCATCCTTCTTTTGAATTATGACGATTTTAAAAAAGGTATATTTTACAACGTATTGATTATGACCTTTTCAAGAATAAGTTTATTTTTAATAAAACTGGCATATTTTGAATGTCACTATAGCCGAAAATAGACATAACTGCTTTCTAGCTATCCGAAATAGTTTTTGCAATATATTTTCACAAAAAGTTCGAAAATGGAAATTTTTGACTTGTGTCACTATTCTTGTGCACCAACGATATAAGAACGTTTTGGATGATAAATAAATATTGTACCTGCGGGTATGGAATAATCTCCTTCTTCGACGATTTCCGCATAATCTTCGGATAGCATTGTTCCGGTGGGGTTTGAATAGCTGTCTTTACTAGATCTATGAGGTTTCACGGGATTGGACTCTTTGGAATCTGAAAATAACGAATTTAAAAAAAAAATAACGCCATTTCTAAAATTGCTACTAAACCGATCTGTGCAACTAAAAGATGATCAACACTAACCTTTGCATGGACAAGGAAACTGTTTCCAAACAGTAGCTTGCAAAGGAAGAAAATACATGTAAATTAAAATACTATTCTAAAGAAAAAGAGATAGAAAATAACAAACATATGTATGTAAATGTAATAGGCGATTTATTACACATTTACGTTGACAGGTGCAAGTTGAAAAGAAATGAAAGTCAGTTAAAGTAGGAAAAAAAAAACAAAAACAGTTCTGCTACTGCAACTAATATTTTAATAGGCTAATTCTTAAAGTGACATAAACACAAATGACACATAGCTTTAATATTATATTGTAAAAACAAAACAAAATATTATATACAAATCACTCATAAGATAACACTAACAATAATTGATACAAATTTCGCGATAAGAAGTGAATCAGATAATCAATACATCTGTTTAGAAATAACATTGACATTCCATCCAAAATTCTTAAATTTAATCATCAATTATGTCGAAATGAGGCAACACTCGTTCATATTGTTGCTGATAAAACTTCAGTTTCAATCAATCAAATCTGGAGTCTTACAAGGCAGCGTCTTGAGGCTACTATTTTATTTAATGTACACGTCTGACCTCTCTGTTCATACCACAATACATAACACTAATGTTAAGAAAAGAAAAATACTCACCTGTCTATATTATTAAAAGAAAAACAGTATAATATTGAAGGGAAACTGGCCAATAGACCTAAAATAAGGTGGAAGAGATCTTCACACTGGATAAGCCTCCTCAAGATATTTGTTGTGTGACTTTAAAATTAGTCTCTCCAGGTCATTAAAATAACACATAAAATTGTAAATTCTGATTATTTAAATAAATTAAAATTAAAGAGTTTATTTTATCAATCTAGCATTCTCCCACCCCTTTTATTTTTGGATTCCTGACTGCTGTTTGCTTGTAAAAGTATCTGGTTTGCTAATATGCCTGTAATGAAGTTTAAACTGTACACAGTAAATGACCTGAATTTGTAGTTGTGACATGTGTAAGTTAGGTCTAGTCTTCCCTAGAAAAGTAGCATAAAAAATGGTATCTGCTTGTGTGAGGCGTCAAGTCGTTTGTGGCTTTCGATTTTCAGTCTCTGACGTCACGGTTTGGTCTTCCGTCCGACCAGAAATGAAAGGGCACTTGGTTTCAGCTCGGACCATTCACTCTTCCGTCCTACCAAATATTCGTTTTTTGCCTTTGTTTTATTTGACAGCTGACAGAAACTGAACATCGTTTTCTGTGATTAGAACCGAATCAATACGTGAAAGAGACACTAGTTGGTAGAATAAATTCCGAACCAGACACAGAATAATCGGTACACCTCCACCAATTTGGTTTCCGGAAAGAACACACTATAATGCAGCAAGTTCGCAAAGTAACATAGATCATAAGTTTTTCTTTTCAAACAACAAGTCAAAGGAAGACCTTAGACAAACGACCTAACTCGAGTAAAATCCCAGTGAACCATCAATGGATATTTCTTATAAAATACTTACTACTACTTTGTAATATTTTAAGTAGATTGTAAATTCATTATCTTATAATAAAATATAACTCCACCATGTACACAGTTCTGAGTGACACAATTGCACTTACCTTTCTTATTCCATATGGAAGCGGGCATGTTGGAATGCAATCTACAATAGCCGTCTATCAGGTCAGCTAAGCTTTCGGCCACGTCCAAATTGGAACAAGTGAAGAACAGTACCTCCTGAGTACCGGCCACTTTGAGCTGCAACGTGGCCTTGGTGTGCTCCTCGCAATCGCTGACTAGAGTTTGGATAGCTTGGATCTGATCGAAATCCGCGATTTTTTTCGTCGTAGAAGCCTGGACGTTGGTGTGAGAGATTCCAATATCTGGACCTACGAATAGACATCAAAAAACGATTTTGTTATATTTTTTCATGGTCATTCGACTACCTTTTATCAAATACTGACGCTGGTTATCCAAAAATTGATGATTTTAATGAAAACGAAGAAGAGTTCATGCCTACAATTGTACAGAAAGATGCAAAATTGATGAAATATATCAAGATTCTTATATGAAAAAAGAAAAATGTTTTACTAAGTTGGATGGGGCAATCTAGGAACAAAAATTACCACTTTCTATTTTAAAATACGTGAGGAAAAGTAATTTTCAAAGGGGATTTAGAAAATTATATACATCGACGTACTCACCAATGACTAGTTCAACTGGCACCGTAAAACTACCTCCAAAATCTACCCTAAATCGTTCTTGATCGAAATTGGTGTGGTATTTCAGAATTTCTAGATATTTGAACATGCTTTCGAACTCCGAGAGATGAGCGAACTTTTTAAATTGGATCTGTATACTTTTCCTCAACGATTTGGATTTAATTTTTTCTAAAACGCTGTTCGGTATGAATTTCTGCATGCCGATCTCCCTCTCCAAGTACTCGAAATTAGATTTCTTATCCAGGACATTTTGGGGCATGTCCTTGAAGTATTTCCTAATTTCCAAGCAGCACAGTTGGATGGCTATTTCTTGGTCGATTTTCTTGTGGAGTTCTGTGTGGTAATCGCTTCTAACCTAACAAAATAATAAAGAAATGACCAAGGTCGACATAATGGAGCCAAAAACAAATGAAGGAAAAGGTACAGTGAGTATTGAGCCTCACAGATTTGTAATATAAATGAAACTAAAGGTAAAAATTTCAAACAGATGCGAAATAACATTTTAAAATAGCGAAAAACATTAACATAAGCTTCAAACTTCATGTAGAAGTTTATTTTGATAGATATTACTAGTAATGACAGTTGTGATGGTATATATTAGAGTTGAAATTTATTGAGTAATAAATCGCAATTAAAAATGGCGCTCAACGTGGGGCTCTTAGGAAAAGCAGTGGCGTGCGATAGTAGAACCAAATAGTTAAAAAAAAATGGAAAAGTAGGGAAAACAATGATTGAAAATAATACATAAAGGTGAATAATCAATGGGGATAAAATTTGAAACATGGAAGGAATTACAGAAGAAACACAAATAAAGAAGAAAAAACTGATAGGACTAAAGGTTATGGAATTAAAGTAGAATTGAGATAAAGAGGAAAAGATATTATTAGTTTGAAAAAGGATTTAATCGACAGATTAATTGGCAGATTGGAGTCAGCAGAAAGTATCCAGAAGATTATGCATTTGGAAGAAGGAAACAGAAAATAGAAGAGGCGAGGAAAGAGCATAGACAAGGAAAGGAGTCAGAAAGGAAAACAAAGAGACTAGGGAAGAGCATGGACAAGGAAAGGAGAGAGGCATATAAAAACAAGATTTTAAAGAATAATGATTCATGAAAAAGAAGAAGAAACAAGAATAAATGCGATACGAAAAGAAAACATGTTCCAGTAAAAAGAAACACGATGAAAAGGTTATAAAGGTTATAAGGTAAGTAAATTTAATTTTAAATATGAGAGCGTTCAAGTATTACGTAACGAATTTAGGGGGGAGGGGGGTTTTGTAAAACGTTACGATGCGTTACAGGGGCGGGAGGGGGGAGTTGAATTTCTCGTTACGTAACATTATTATTTTTTAACCCTTCAGAAAAGTCGCGTATTTTAGCGACTTTCCGGTACTACGCCACATAATTGTGATTTTTAGGTAAAAATAGTCACTTGGTGGTTACGTAACGTTTTACTAGGGGGGGGGGATACAGAAAAACGTTGCGGCGCGTTACATGGGGGGAGGGGAGGTTAAAAATCTCCAAAAATTGCGTTACGTAATACTTGAACGCTCCCTATGCCAAATTATGAGGTTATGAAGTGTATACAGTTGTACATAACGTATTGCCTTACCTGATCGTAATAGTAGTGAAAAGTAACTTTATCTCTATCGAAGAGCTCTTTAAGAATAGTTGGTAAATATCTAATTCTAAGATCGTATCTCCATTCCGAATTAGGATGTTTTTTGAGATATTTCTCATGGATCTGTTGCATCGTGGTGTCCTGATGTAACCAATGCGTCTATATTAAAAAAAAAGTTTTATAAAAATTTTAATTATGTACAAGCCACTCGTTCAAAATTTTCAATATATACATTACTAAATTCGTTTCATTTAATATTAGAAAAATCTGAGATGAGTGAATGTTTCCCCTAGAGAGAGTAAGAAAGGCTAATACACAAAGTCTAGAAAAATAATAAAATATTTTTATTGAGTACAATCCAAAAGGTCATCGACCGAAGTCCTTCATCCCGTGATGTATTACAAAAAAGTCGATACAATATTGTATTGCAAAACGTTTAAAAATTATATAATAATTTTATTATGTATTATGTTAATAAAAAATAAGTAATCAATTATATCAAATGAGTTTCGTTAATGTATGTAGATTACGATTACTTCCCACGCCGATTTTTTTTAAGTAAAATTTAAATATTGAAACACTATACTAATATTGGTTTGTTTGCAAACTACTGATTAATGTATTCAGTCACTAAGAAATTGACTGAAAGTTAGTTTTATTATTATGTAGGACATTCAAATTGAATACATTTTGTATGTTAGAATATTTGAGTGTATTGGACACTTCCAACGAAATTGACAGGTTAAAATTTTTTATAAATATATTTAAGAAGTAGATAATAAATATGCATTAATTTTTTATATCATTCGTGTCATCTGTACTTACTTCAGTCGATGGAGGCCTGGATAATCTCATTGCGTACAGTCCATTGTAATATCTCTCTCCTGTTGATAATCTCTCGGTTACAGTTTGGATAATGCCCTTGATTTCAACCGTATCGCCATATCGGACAACGTTAAAGCCACCGTTCGGTAGATGAACCTGCAATTAATTCCAAAAATTTTATTACACTTATCCTAAAATTTCTCCATTACGGTTCATTTTAAAGAAGTTATGTATATGACAAAAATTATAGAGAATGACATCACAAACATTTCTTATTGAAGGAATTTTTTATAATAGAAATAGAAAAAGTACCCCCAGATGTCCCGACTACGCTCAAAATATAATCAGATTATCGTAGGATGGATTAATGCTTAAGTTTTCAAATTTAGTGTTTTTATTCTTATTCGTGTTATCATGCATACAGACATCATTGAGAAAACGGTCAAAACGGTTTAAGAGGAATCCAAAACATAAAGAGCCGTCGAAAAAATCACGTTACAAAAGACAATCAAATTATATTTACAGTTCTGATTTGTGTCAAATTTGAACTTTTCCGATATGCGTTTTTTGACATATTTTTAAAAAATTGATTGAAGGCCACATCTTTAAAGGTGTTTAGAAAGTATTTTTTTCTACACCCGTATTATAATAATGCACTTATATGCCCATAATCCGTTTCATAATGATACCCATTATGATACAGATTTTTCATTATGATACAGATTTTTAATCAATAGAAACCTACCATTTTTCAATCAAGCATGATGTTTGACGTTTGTCCTAAATTCCTATGTAATTGTTTTAGTTGTCAAAACGTATTAAATTTTCGTAGATAGCTAAACTTCGATAATTATAATATTAAAATGTCTGATATCAGCGATATAGAAGACTCCTCCACACATATCGGAGAAAGGAGAAAATGCAGTACAAAATATTTTGCCCCAAAAATCTGTGGTAATACCAATACCCAAGGTAATACCATTAATTACAATTTTGTAGAATTTTTTATAGAAATACGAGTAATTACTGTTATTGTGTTCAATGCCAATATAAATAGAATATTTATAGGTCTTGATTATTTATCGGGTGTAGAAAAAATAGCGTATGCAACTCTCATGTAATGGTTATTAAAACACTCGCATAAACCATACGAAACTCGCCTTTGGCTCGTTTCGTATCCCGGTTAATGCTCGTGTATTAATAACCATCATTACATGATCGTTGCATAATATACTATTAGATTGAGGTAAATTTAGTTAAAATGACAAACAATCTCGTCTAGTGAGGTGTCTGTTTGGCAGGATAATTTTGAACACTCTGTAGAAAGGATGTAAAAACTTTACATACTGTAAAGTTAAACTGGACGTATTACTCCACATTATCATTAATATTTTTCAAATTATTGAATACATTATTTATATACACGGTGAGCCAAAAAAATGAGCACATTTTTATTTTTAAATAACTGTAATCTTTAAAATTTTAAATATTCTAACATTAAACTATAGGTTCACATAAAATAAATTCAAACCTATCGAGACACAATTAGTATAGTATATAACAGTGGGGGGAAACCAATTTATATAAATAAAAAATGAAAACATATTGTTTTCTACCCGCACTACTTTTAATAAAAACACATGTATTTATAACTTTCATATGTCTTCTTTGATTTAATTGTTTCAATCATAATCCGACAGTCTCTCCCCGGCGTTCAATATATTTTTCGCTAGCTGATGTGGTTTCCAGGCAGGGCTAAAAGTTGTAGCGCCCTCACTTTACGTATTCGGGCAGTCACGTCGATCGATATAGCTCGCGTTCGTAGGTTTCATACACGGAATTTTTATATGAAAGGGCTAAGAAAATGTCCGCCTTGCTTCTTTGTAGACAGTGTGTAGAGTGTAGACAGTGAGTCTGTTTATTACGTTATTCGAGATGCTGTCAGTTAGAAAGGAAAATGGCGGCTTGTAGACACACAAACTTGTTTACAATCATTGTTTTATCGTTTTATAGTTTTAGTTTTGTGATATTGTTTCGTTTTATGGATTTATTGTTTTACTTACTGTTTTTTTTTTGTTTTTTTTGATTGATTTTATTGATTTTGTTGGTTTTATTGGTTATATTGGTTATATTGGTTATATTGGTTATATTGGTTATATTGGTTATATTGGTTATATTGGTTATATTGGTTATATTGGTTATATTGGTTATATTGGTTATATTGGTTATATTGGTTATATTGGTTATATTGGTTATATTGGTTATATTGGTTATATTGGTTATATTGGTTATATTGGTTATATTGGTTATATTGGTTATATTGGTTATATTGGTTATATTGGTTATATTGGTTATATTGGTTATATTGGTTATATTGGTTATATTGGTTATATTGGTTATATTGGTTATATTGGTTATATTGGTTTTAATTGTTTCGTTGTGTCGTTGTTTCGTTGTTTCGTTGTTTCGTTGTTTCGTTGTTTCGTTGTTTCGTTGTTTCGTTGTTTCGTTGTTTCGTTGTTTCGTTGTTTCGTTGTTTCGTTGTTTCGTTGTTTCGTTGTTTCGTTGTTTCGTTGTTTCGTTGTTTCGTTGTTTCGTTGTTTCGTTGTTTCGTTGTTTCGTTGTTTCGTTGTTTCGTTGTTTCGTTGTTTCGTTGTTTCGTTGTTTCGTTGTTTCGTTGTTTCGTTGTTTCGTTGTTTCGTTGTTTCGTTGTTTCGTTGTTTCGTTGTTTCGTTGTTTCGTTGTTTCGTTGTTTCGTTGTTTCGTTGTTTCGTTGTTTCGTTGTTTCGTTGTTTCGTTGTTTCGTTGTTTCGTTGTTTCGTTGTTTCGTTGTTTCGTTGTTTCGTTGTTTCGTTGTTTCGTTGTTTCGTTGTTTCGTTGTTTCGTTGTTTCGTTGTTTCGTTGTTTCGTTGTTTTACTGTTTTATTGTTTTATTGTTTTATTGTTTTATTGTTTTATTGTTTTATTGTTTTATTGTTTTATTGTTTTATTGTTTTATTGTTTTATTGTTTTATTGTTTTATTGTTTTATTGTTTTATTGTTTTATTGTTTTATTGTTTTATTGTTTTATTGTTTTATTGTTTTATTGTTTTATTGTTTTATTGTTTTATTGTTTTATTGTTTTATTGTTTTATTGTTTTATTGTTTTATTGTTTTATTGTTTTATTGTTTTATTGTTTTATTGTTTTATTGTTTTATTGTTTTATTGTTTTATTGTTTTATTGTTTTATTGTTTTATTGTTTTATTGTTTTATTGTTTTATTGTTTTATTGTTTTATTGTTTTATTGTTTTATTGTTTTATTGTTTTATTGTTTTATTGTTTTATTGTTTTATTGTTTTATTGTTTTATTGTTTTATTGTTTTATTGTTTTATTGTTTTATTGTTTTATTGTTTTATTGTTTTATTGTTTTATTGTTTTATTGTTTTATTGTTTTATTGTTTTATTGTTTTATTGTTTTATTGTTTTATTGTTTTATTGTTTTATTGTTTTATTGTTTTATTGTTTTATTGTTTTATTGTTTTATTGTTTTATTGTTTTATTGTTTTATTGTTTTATTGTTTTATTGTTTTATTGTTTTATTGTTTTATTGTTTTATTGTTTTATTGTTTTATTGTTTTATTGTTTTAAACACAACAATCGATATTTCTTGTGTATTCTTGATCCATTTAAAGTTATTTGAAAGGCCAGATTCGTGTTAGTTACTTTTATTAAAACATTTATAGTATATTCAACAGTTTTCTCGTCTTATTTCGTTGTTAAAGTGTTTTAATGAATTAGAAGATGTGTACGTGTCGACAAATTTTGACGAAAAAGTGACAGAACACAAGTACTTAAGTAAAGTGTGCTAAATTAGAGGAATATTACCAATTTATAATGAACGCCAGGGACGGAGTGACAGATTATGATTGGATCACCTAAAGTGCTTTGGTAAGTTTTGATACATTTTATATATCTTCAGTAGCGCTTCCCCGTCGACTAGGCTACGAGCCACCACTGCTATACAGAGTAGGTTAAAATAAGAATTTACTTATAGCCAATAAGTTTATTTTTTTTTTAAATGGAAACGATGACAAGATGACGTCATCCATTTTTTTAAGTAGAAACTTATAAACGTAGATAATTTGAGGTTTCCAACTCAAATACACCGTATTTTTACATTTTGTTTCATTTTGTAAAATCTAAGTCAAACTAAATAAAAGCGGTGATATTTAGCATTGATTATAAAAGCTAAACGAAATAAAAAATGAAAAACGAGTATTTGCTGAGAATAAAAGAGGCTTTGAGATGCAATTATTTAAAAAAATAAATAAACTTTATTTTTGCGAGTCCCCTAGAGTTACTTTTGAACCTACCCTGTGTGTTATTCTAAATCAATCTCGATAGATTTGAATTTATTTCATGGGAACCTATACGTATCTGAATATTTCCTGAAAATATGGTGTAAAAAATAATTGTTATGAATAAAATTATATACAAAAAAGAAATATATTTGGCCTACTGTGTAGTAACAATGTTTCAAATAACTACAAATACTAAAAAAATAAATGACCGCCGCTGATATGATTAATTATTCCATTCTGAAAGTTATATTATCATTTTTAAGGCAGGATGCAGTCTTTCTTTTGATTAATTTTTTACTTTTTAATGATTTAAAAACACTTTACAACAAAAACACCTGCTAATTAAACATCGGTTTATATACGTTTTTCATTCAACCGGTAAAATAATACATATAATTTCCAGAATTCAATTACAATGTACAGTATTATTTAATTAGAGAATATGTATCGATAAATATTTTTCGAATGGCTAGTGAAGCGTGAATATCCTTCCATTTGCTTTTTAAATCTTATTAACGATTCTTTGTTGATTGAGTTACAGTTGGTAAAAAGTTGATTTTCTTTAACCAATTAAAACGAGCATTTATAATAACTGTCGGAATTTTTTTTAATTTAATCTTGTTTTAGTGCCAAACGAAAAAGTGGATACTTTAGAAAAATATTTAAATTATAATTATTATCATTAACAACAAAACCTTATTCAAATCAGAAATATGGAGAAAATGTTATTTACTACTGATACCCCCCTTTATAATATATCATATATAACACTTTTCTCTACAATTCCCACCACTCTGGTGATATATGTGTGAC